AAAAAAAAAAGCATTACAGAAAGTGTTGTAAATTACGAATGGGGTTTACAAAGCCAAGGGAATCTATGCCTTGGGGGAGTAGTGTTTTTGCGGAGTATCGGTACGCGGGAGTATCAGTGCGGGGGAGTATCGGTGCGGGGATGTAAAGAAGCGGGGGAGTATCGGTGCGAGGGAGTATCGGTGCGGGGGAGTATCGGTGCGGGGATGTAAAGAAGTGGGGGAGTATCGGTGCGGGGGAGTATAGGTACGTAGCCGAACATAACAGTTTTTGACCTCCCACCTATTTATTTTGGGAAAGTATTCATTATTCCACTGACTTTTTACTTTCCCCATGGGCCCAAAAGTTAAATACATTCTGGAGAAAATATTTCTCAAATACTGAGAAAGTTTTTTACAATGGCAAGCAAAAAGTAAAAATGGTAAAAATTAACGCATAAAAATTGTTTAATACAATAAAACTTTTTCACATCAAGCAGTACACTTCTTTTTTATCGATATAATCTGTACAAGCTCATTTAGAGTTTATTTCTTTTGAGCTGATGGTGATTATAATTGGCAGTGCTGAGCTTAAGGGCTCTATTTCAACAACTTGTAGTGGAGAAAAAGAATAGGCTCTACTGAATCGGGGAAGGCTTTTTGTAGGCGCTTGAAACAAAAAAATTAAATCATTGCTATAAATTTATTGGATGATTTATTTTCCAAAATATATTTTTTGGAACTTAATTACGGGTCATCTAACTTCAAGGTTAAGATCGTTCTTTGGCCTAATAGAACAGTCCTGATCTAGTGATCCACAACGACGGACGGATCATCAGATACGTCTCTTCTTGATTATGCGCATTCAACTCTTTTGTAAACGGAGGTTATGTTGGTCAAGGCAACCAGCAGGAATTCAACAAATATAGAAAATTAGGTCTGAAAAATGTCAATATCTAAAACAGATAGTTGGTGAGTAGAGCCCTGTACTTTAGGAGGTATATAACTTATGTAACCTGATGTAGGCATATACACATAATTCATTTGAGTTGCTCAAATGCATTAATGTTTTTGATACTACATGTAGTTCGAGTCAGTGTGCATTTATTGAAAATGAAATTCTTAAAGTTTCAAATAAATGAATGAAATTGAAAATTGTAGGACTGTCAGTACCCTACTGTGGAGTACACTTTAGCATCTTCTCTAGCTTGTCAAGGAATCTAAAATTGTTGTCAGAACTTGTTACAAGAGTTCAAAAGAATTTCATAAAACTTGCAACTAAAATAGGAACTACATTTTATTCTTGCTTGTTAAACATATGTCTACTATCTTCATGAACAAGCGATGTGACCACAAAAGCACATATGTCTACTATCTTCATGAACAAGCGATGTGACCAACAAAAGCACATCACTTTTCTTTTTCAGATATTAAACTTGGGGAAAGGGAGTTTGCACCTTTTATTATTATGGGGATGCCAGTAGATTATAAAAGTAATCTAAAGAGTAGAAATGTTTCACAAAGTTCAAGTGGTGCTGACACTGTCTATGTGTTTATGGACATAGAGATAGACCGTGGCTGCCAGGCAGCTGTATGCACATCTATTGGGAAAGAAGACATACAACTATATAAATACAACGAAGTTCCAGAATTTCTGCAAGGAAATCCATATGTCAGGGATGGGTACAGAGCATTTCTCTCATCCAATGCCTGTATAAAAAGGTATATGCAATTGGATGGTGCTACTTACTAGTAATGTAATAGTTAAACTGACATGAAAAGTCAACAAAGAGATTAACCAAACTTTGCGTCAATATGATCTGGTTCAATTGGTAAACATTTCATAATTATGAAGCAATTTCATTTGCTCAAATATTTTGTTGTTTCACAAACACAGACCAAACATTGATACAGCTCAGAGAAAATGCATTGATTTATTATTTTCTTTGAGGTAATCAAATATATCTTTTAATATAAAATAATGGTTGAAGGCTATAAATACAACATCATGTTTATTAGGTGCTTTTAAAGTTATATTATCAAGAATGAAATTTTGCATTGTTGATGTGCATTTTTCAGTATGGATATTTTATTTATTTATTTATTTATTTATTTATTTATTTATTTATATAAAATTTTTTTGGTACTGATAAATGGGATTGGTCTTAACTTTGCTTTTTGCTTCCCTTCCAGTTTATTTGTTTGGAATAATGAAACCATCAATATCTGGTCACACCTCATTGGATTTGTGATATTTTGTTTGTGCACTCTGGTGGACAACATTGTCATGATACCTCATTACAGTGGAGGCTTCTCTGATCATCTCATTGTTACTGCAGGTCTTTTGTGTTATCAGGTAAGAATCATTTACTGTAGTTGTCTCAGAAAACACAGACACATAAACTGATTTTCATTATTATAACACTCAAAAATTAAAGTACTTTTTTTACAATACCACAGATTATTGAGGACAGATTTCAAGTTAAATTTTGCTCAGTTTCACAAATTTACTGTCAGATACCTGTTCAGTTGAACCACAACACCAACTTTCAGAACTTTGTGGTACCCAGGATTTGGCATCTAACTAAGGGATCCCAGAATGACTCTGATAAAAATTTGACCCACTATCAAGCACATATCAAGTAGGTGGTCCCTGCCTCTCAGAAACTCTAGTTTATTTCCAGTTTTGTATGCTGTGCTCTGCTGGGTACCATATCTTCAACTGCCATTCAGAGAGAGCCAGTAAACGCTGGTTAATGACAGACCTGGCTGGGATCTCTGTGGGGCTGATTGGCTGCTACTTACCTGCAGTGCACTATGCTTTTTACTGTCTGTCTGTAAGTATTGTATGGGGGAGGGGTTTGTATACTGTGTGTGTGTGTGTGTGTGTGTGTGTGTGTAGTTGTCCTTACTTCTCTGGCTTCAACTCTTGGTACTGCAGATGTTATTCAATGTGAAGCTCCTAATTGTTCACAAATAAGTATATAACTACATCGCAGTGACAGTGATAACGATGGATAAAAGACTACCATATATTATGATGCAAAAATCTTCATTTATATTTAAGTCATGTAGAGAAGGGGTATGGTTTTGCATTAGAAATGTGACAAGTCTCTGTTTTGAATTACAGATATGGCGAGACATTTACCTTTTTACAGTGGCAATCTTATCAGCAGCAGTATTATTTACACAGCTTCACCCTCGCTCATTCTCTCCACACTGGTGGACAAAAAGGTTAATATTGTACTGTTGTCTAGCTGCTTATGGAATTATTCCTACCATCCACTGGATATACCTGAGTGGTGGATGGGAAGAAGAGATGGTTCAGGTAAATATTTCTCTAAGACTTTAAGCATGCATCAGTATTTCCTGATCAGAACAAAATTTGTTTTATTATTATTCAAGGGACAAATTTTTTTGATAATTTTTATTTTATTATTATATTTACTTTTATGCTAGTTGGTCTGAGCCATAAAATAGATACTTTGTACTAATGTTTTCAAAGGGTGATAAATGCTTTTCATTGAAGGAAATCATTACTGATGCTAGCATAGTAGTAGTACAAGTAGTAGTAGTAGTTGTAAAAGAATGAGAATAAGATTATTTATCATTCTTTATTAATATTAGCTATGTTTTTAAAAACTTAAAATACAAGTGGTAAATGTCTTCTGATTTTGCAAGTAGGTAGAATTATGGACACTGGGTAGTTTGAATTAACTGAATACTTAGGATAATCATTATAGGTTAGAATATCTGAGCTTTCCTTAAGTAATATACATAATTTCATAGGTAAAATTTGTGCTTAACATTTATGTCCCACTATAATTTGTTGCCAGATTTCATTTATTATATTTTGGTTTTGATTTTCATTTTACTTGCAGATGTTTATACCAAAAGTGGTAATTATGTACTTTTTTGGAATGTCGGCACTCGGCTTTTACTTGACAAAGTTTCCTGAAAGATATTTTCCAGGTAAGTTTTTATAACAATTCAGTGCCACAAAATAATCAGTGATCTTACTTAAGTTTTTTTATGAAACTGTCCTGATATTTGGAAAATATATAGGTAGAGATGTTGTATGATTAATCAGAGATATTTTGTTGTAACTATTTCCAAATTACTGAACGTTAAACTAACTCATGCATTTTTTCTTTTCTTTTCCAGGTAAAGTTGATTACATCGGCTCCAGTCATCAGTGGTGGCATGTTATTGTAGTAGCAGCTTTCTTTTATTGGCATGCTGCCGGGAGCGAGATCTTTATATACAGGATACAGCATGCTCCTCATATGTGCAGTTAACCAATATTATCAGCTTTGAACTGTGATAAAATAACAAGAAACACAGGTTTAAGCATTGGTTTGCATATGTTAAAGTAAAGAATGTGAGTGTTATAATTTGAATAGTAGAAAAATACCACTCCTATGAAACCTTTGCAAATGACTGGCGAACTGTACCATTGTTATTAGACAGCATTATAAAACTTGACTTATTTCAGTTTTACATTTTTGAATAAGTAGAAGTCAACAAAATTGAAATTTGTGTAATATGTTTCTCAATTGAATGTTCAATGAATAATTTTATGAGAGCTAGTCACATATTAGAGCTAATGTTGACATTTTATGATTTTCTTAGTTTTCAAATGCTTATCCATCTCTCATTAGATAGACTTCCTGTTAGACTGGTTTCTAACAGTTTTGCTCCTGACCAAAACACTAATTTACATTCCCAATCACTGTTAAGACAACAGATATTAGCTGTTGGTTGTTTAAACTCAGGTTTTGTGATTATCACATTTTTTGTATTACCATTATACAAGTTTTTGATTTGTTTTTAAAACATTTGTTTGAGAACAGGTGCTGTTTGTATCTGCATCCATTATGCAGTCATTTATATAGTGTTAATGAGATTATCGAATGATTATTAAGCCTACTGAATTTTTTTTTAATGTAGCATTGTACCTGAAATAACATGAATAATCAAAATATAATTGTAGGCATTTTGTGTCCAAACATGTTTTAGCATTATCATATAAAATAAATTCTTAGAATTTCTTTCAAAATCTCAGTTTTCAATGTAAAAATAAACATTGAACATTGTTTTGATTCTTTAAATCTCCTTTTCGACAATGTAGAACTGCTTAAAATGTGCAATTTTAAAATCCCCCCCAAGGAAAAAAAGAAGTAAGTCATGCATACCTTTAATGTAAAATTGTACCTTCAGGTCTTGGATATAAAAAGTAGACACGGCATTATTCTTAGGGCATCCTATCTTTGTACCAGTCTTTTAAGATTAAAATCCCAAAAGTGACGTGGTCAATTGCCCAAGCTCTGTTTCTGTTGCCTCCTTGCTGGTACTCGTGATATTCAAATCCCAAATATTTCAAACCAGTTAAAACTTCAGTCTCTTAATGTTGTTAGCTCTAATGATGCTGTAGAATTTAAAAGAATTGCGGTAGAGAGGGGGCATAACTTGACTCTACAGTTTTGAAGTTAACGAACGGGATATGTTTCGTTTCTCCTGGTTTGCACTATTTCAGACTATAACATCATAGCCCTTGGATACAGTACAGTTACTGACCGCACCCACCTTCAGCAGTGTAAGACCTGCTTTATGTCATAAAATTTGACAAAATTCTGAGCACCATTTATCTGTTAAAATAACTGAAGGCTTTTATCAGCGTGATGTTCACGTTTGAATTACTAAACTTTGCATTACATTACTTTACTGGCTATATACCACAACAATAGGCTTACCATGGTGCAGCCCACAGGAGCGCTTTTTAGGATTTCCTGAATATAAATAGAATATGAAATATCAATGCAATGGAAATTGATTGCAAAAAATGAATATGAATGAAATAAGGTAGGAGGCAGGCTTCTTGGCTTCAATTCCATTTAATTTCTCCTTTTTTTTTCGCAAACTTGGTCGTGTCTATTTATTTTTCTCTGGCACCATGTTGCACAGCATTGCTTTCCACAGCACAGCTAACACATTTCAAATAAACGCATACCACTATCTCTGAATTTTCCAGCATAGAAGGCATATGTGCCAGAACGCGAAATTTTTGAAGAAAAAAAAAGTTTCCTCCTGGACTTGTCTATGGAAATAATACTTGTTTCAAGCTTCTTATCACCAAAAATGAAGATATCCAGAAATGTTGCAATCTCTGCCAGATTTCCGACGTATGACTTTTGTCTATTGTCTCAGAAAGAAAATTATTGTCTCAAAATACTTCGTGGATCGTGAAAACATTTTTGATACTTTCCCCTTTAAGGTCAATATTATTGACTTCCTATTTCTTCATACATCCTGGTGCGTTTGATCCGTTAGTTGGTCTTTCGTGTTCAAAATAGTAAAGGTACATGTATGTCATCTACCGCTATCCTCAACTTCTGTTGATGTGGAATTTTGATTTCTTTCTTTCTTTTCGTAAAACGAAATTCAAAAGGTTTTAGAATGACATACAGTATGTTATCCCTATGATAGTTACACATGTATCAGTCGAAAAATGCGCTTCATTTTGACACTGTTCAAAGTCACTCTTGTGCATAACACTTCATAAGTAATAAAGCAAAAAAAAAAAGTTCGGGACTAAGCACAATGGCGAAATAATTTTAATGGCCAATGTTGAATTCATTTATTTACAACACTAGTACTGTATCAAAACTTGTTTCCCAAGTTGATTTTTGTTAGGAGACAATCTTTTGAATGAACAAATAATCTAATGAGTGAATGTATGGGTTGGATTTGTTGTACTGAAAGCATGCAGCATGTTTCTTTCTTTCTTTCTTTCTTTCTTTTTTCTGCTTCTTCTTCTTATCTATATCCATTTATTTTGTGGAAGGGACGAGTAGGCCCTACATATAGATGAATCCGTTAAAGTGTTTTGGAAAGGGGTAATGGGGCGGGTCACTCAGCACCCCACTCCTTACATACATAAATGCATTGTGTCATGTACTTCACATACCCTTAGACATTTTAGTTATTGTACCACTGGTTTATGGCTTGGTTGCACTATGGATTGAGCAGGCCTACTTCTCTCGCTGTTTCTAATTGATGTGATCCCATACAAAATTTCATTTCCAGGTTTAAGTGGTTGCCTGTCTTTTCGTGGTGATTGTGACAACAACCTTGATCTGCCGGCCATTTAATACTTACCCTGAAATCATATTTCAGTCACAATAACACCTACGAGGTGACATTTGCTGTTAACTGCAGGTGGTAAAAGATTGGCGTGTTAGTTTTTTGAGTTATTTGAGAAAGAGAGAGACAGAGAGTTAATTGCCAAGGATACAATAGTGGTAAAAAAATACCAATTAATATGCACCAGTGAAGACATTGCGAATTAATATATATACAATGTATACGTTAACGTGATTGTATATCGATCATCCGATGAAAAAATTCACTGCCAACAGAATAGATAGTTCTCACTTTTCGACTTCTAGCATAATCACATACATACAAACATGTAATCTCGTAAGACATGAAATTGTAAACTAAAATATTTTCATAAGATGGAAAAGCTGAAGCTATGAGCTGTAATGGATCCTAAATAAAGGACATGTGTATTTTCTTAACGTGTCAGAAATCAATGCTAGTACAATGATCACAGACGTCATAGCCAAACACATCCTCCGAACAATGCATTGACCATATAGCAACACGGCAAACGAGTCCGACACACATGCGTCTAGAAACGCAAATATTGGGACGGCATTCTTAAATACAGACTAAACACCCTAAACGTTCAGTCGATGTAAACAACTGTTCAATTGACCGTGGTGTTGACAGTATATTTGGTAACCATATTGATATTTATTGGCAGTATGGAAAAGTGGGGATGCAGTGAGCTGCACTGTTTGCCGCCCATTGTCAGATAACCTGAGTAGTAGAGACGGTAGTCAAGGCAGTGTTGTTGGCAAACTTTAATGGACTTAAAGACTATTTCTTTAAAGGAACGTCTTGTGAGATTGACGAAGCGATTTTATGACAAGACTGTTCGTGCTTACTTTTTTTTTGCATTTTGTTCATTGGTTTGTGAGCACGGTTTTTGAGGCAACACACAGATAGTCTTTCATTCCACAACAAGAATATTCATCGATTTCGATCTGTTTCGAACTAATTGACAGGACTTGAGTTCAATCAAAGCAATTGCTTGTGTGTGGCACGGCATTAGCGAAGGGCTTACTAAGTAGTTCAGTCACATTCAGTCTTCCAAGCAGTAGATCAGGACCACATGGGTTGTTCGTCTTCCAGCGACGGAGGCTTGGATAATCACTATGACGAGCCTCCACGGAAGGTGGACCCTCGACTCCCCTATACCACCTATCGCCAAGTGTTTAATTTAAAGAATTCATGGAAAGCTATCAACAGGAAGTTAGAAGACACTGCAAAGGACAACTTAATGCGGTGAGTGAGGTTGCAGTCAGCGGTCGCTATTGATCGGTTTATAGTATGCAGTAAAGTCGGGTTACGTGCATCCCTATAGGTAAACTCATCTATTTTGATAGGGTCCTCCCGGAAATCAAGTCTTTACTTGAAATAACGGGAGAATTATTATTAGAGACTGTCTGGAAGATGGCAGAGATACCAACTAGCATCCAATTCTCCAAAATCAAAACAATCCAGTTCATTCTTCTTCCGCGTGCAACATTCAAAGGATACTTATATTTTGACTGTGTGACAACAAGTCAATCAATCTCGACAAACTTGGTTACGGATAGAGACCGTAGACGTTTTGGTATTGCAAATGAGCCCAAATTTAACTAGTGCATGGAATTGTTCCTTGCACTAGTTAAATTTGTCTCAGTTGGGTCATTAAGATGGTTGTATTATTTAGTTGGTATATTTCAATGTAGAAGATAAAGACAATTTACAATTTTACGTTTAGAGTATATGTCATAAAACAAGTACAGAATATATGTAAGAGGCTAATTATTTTCATTCGTAATGGTGTGTGGCGGTAAAACAACCCTAATATCGGGTTATCCTAATTATCATTATTTATCTTGTCATTTTGGTGGGTCTTAAGAATAATCCGCATATAAAATTTGTCTCACATTTCATCTGATCCGTGTAATATTACCATCATTCAATGTGACTGAGACTATCGAAAATGTATGTTTCCTAGCGATAATCACGACATCTGTCACTCGACAATCCATCTTTCTCTGATTACGTTTTTACCACTTCATCTGTGCTATTGCTCTTTTGTTTTCATTATGGCGGGTTAATTTTATTAAAAAAAATGCGCACCATAGATTCTCTGCCATTTAATAAAAAATGACTGTCAGTTTCACATTTAATTAAAGTACCCACTTAAATTTTTCATTCTCTCATATGACTCTCCTGTCATTTTATTGTACCTTTTGGAATGTGATCTGTAATACCTGTTAGTAAAGCATTGTTTTCACCATGTTAAAATACTTTTCAGTCACCTTTTAATATAATATGGCTGGCATAATATTCCAAACCATGCACGCAAAATATTGTGAGAAAGATGCTTGGAGAAAGGCGTAGATATATAATATTGTAGAATATGAGATTTAGAACATAATACGACGTCATTATAATATTATTTGTTCTAGCACGTTTTTACATAAGCTATTACTTAACAGTTACAAAATACAATAATATGTCACGTGTTAACATTTAACATATTCACGTATTCACTCTGCAAAAAGTCTTTTAGACAATTTATACATTCATAACGATTTTGACGTGATTACATTGTGAATAGGTAAGGTAAACGAAACTATATGCAATAAAATATTAAGACTGATCAAGATGGTAACACTGGGCGACGTAAATGATTAGTTTGCAACGCATCTTATCAGTGAGGGACCTACTCCTATTCCCGTAGGATTGAAGACAAGTAAAGTGATACCCTACCCAACAAATGAATACGTTTAATTCTTCTCTCAAATCACTCGTCACCTATGTGTCCAGAACTCCACCTGGTGCGTTATCTGAAAATAACAGTTAAGGATTACCTTTCTGATGATTAATTAATTGGCTTTTTTGGAAAATGGAATTGTTTTTTTCTCTTGTTGATAAACTAAAACTGACTGAACTAAACCCAGACTCGGTCAACAAATGCATTTTACATCATGCTGTTGCGTGATTTCCCAAATTGCATTATTTAAAAATATTACATTATTTAAAACGCATATGTCATTATTCCAGATTCTTCCGAAAGCATAGGGAGTACCAAGCAATGTTCCCTCAGCTGAAGGATATGGATGAAGAAATTATGCAAACTTCAGACGCTTTCGAGGATCAGTCTTTAAGGATATTTAATATATTCGATGAGGTTATGGAATACATCGACTGCAATGTAGATAACGCCATAGATATACTGCATTCTACTGGAAAACAACATGCTCGAATAGAGGGATTCAAACCAGAAATGTTCTCGGTACTAAGGACACCTTTTTTAATAAGGGTTTATGTTTCATTTTATTTTAATATGGCATTATTGTTTTTTAAATTTTAAATATAGTTGTGATTTTTATTTGATTTTTGCTTCATTGGAATGTGTATTGTGCAACTACTTACATTCCAATTCCAGTATGCATTTGAATGTATGTTCTGTACATATTTAGTCAACATATTCATAAGATATCTATATTTTTAAATTTGTATTTTTCGTGTTCCAAAAACTCACATTTTTAGACTAAAGCGGAACTAAGTACGCCTAGACCCATAACATTTGCACTCCTGTTATTTTAAATACCAGAAGTTTTATATCCTTTTTATTTTCTTTTTCTGCCAAATTGTAAGAACACGTAGCGTAATCTCAGGTTGAAAGACACAGAACTCACTTATAGTAACCAAGAAAACTGAAATTATGAATAAATTCAATATTACCAAATGGAATGTCAAAATTCATCAGCAGTTTTTTCTTCTTATTATTATTATAACTGTCAGTTAGATTCGATTTTTTCTGTCACATTGAGAACAATTTCACTCTTCAGGAATGATGGCGGCCAATCACATTTATCTTATGCCTCTTTTTTTCTTTCCAGGAAATGGAAGAGTCGTTTATGGAAGCCGCAAAAGAAGTACTAGGAGATAGATTCACAGAGTCAGCCGATGATAATCTCAGAAAACTTTACCAATTTTGTATTAAGCACATAAACGCTGGTTATGCAGCCGCTACTCAATAGCACGGTGCGGGTCGCCATATGAAATATTGAGTGCATAGCCTAACTATGTAGATAAGTTTGAAGTGAGATGCAAGGGTGACCTAGTATATGTTTCATGGGCGGAAAGAACAATACAGCCATATGCTCTGAGATGATCTTTGATATTTTACCAGATTCATTTTACGATTCAAGTCGACTTAAATGAGTGGCCTGTATCGTTTTAGTAGAGGGTGTTATGCAATGGACTTCTGGAACCTTCAGCTATGGGTTGCTTGTGTGCACTGGATTTCACATTTTAGAATATTGGAAATATGCTTTTTAAAAATGTACATATGGTATATATTTCATCGATGACAAGACTTAACGTGGCGTAATATACAGTAATTCGCCAAATATCTGACATAAAAAAGAATAAATACCGGTAAATCATGATTAAAACTAGTTTAATTTGAAATCTGGTTTTGAACTTTTTTGCTTAGAGTGACATGGCTTGCATTGGGTATTAGACACTAGATATTCTTGTAAGTATTGCTGTCGACTTACTCTGCTGTGATAAAGAAAAAATTCTGAGTGATAAAATTTTACTCTCCGCTCTCTATTTCTCTTTTTTTTTACGCTAACGGGGCTGCAAGAGTGGAAATAAAAGACCCTGAAATTCATTCAGAATCAATGCAATAGCAACACAAAATGCGATAGAGAAGCCTAATAAACAACGTGCATAAGACTAATTTTGTGAGAGGTGAAAGGACAGCTCTTTGCCATGCATTGAATATTGATTCATGTGCACCTTGTATAATGGTAAGAATAAAGTTATTTCGTACACTACTTAATCTCTTTCAATGTAATATTTCATAGAGAGGGGAAGATGAATGCATTTCGATTTTTTTCTGCAGTGATAGTTTATAAACGAATTTTTCTGATATGAAACTGCACATGCAAATGAGAAGATTGCTGAATGGCATACTACCAATCAGCATTCTGTTTTTGGAATTGTACAAATAAAAAGTAAAAAAAAAGTAAAAAAAAAAACATTCCTTATGAGCAGTCATCTCCTTTTTATGACGGCGTTTTGTAAACGCTGACTGATGCTTACATTCAGAACCCAATTAAAGGGCTTCTAATTTACAATGTCACAGTAGCTCGAGTTTTATTAAAAATTCCATCGATTCTTGAAAGGATGCTTTCCTTGAATTTCAACATGTATGGATCGATTTCCCTTTGCAGCTGTACATTGGAATTTTTAGACACTTGAAAGCGATATTGGTGCAGCAGACCAAGATTACTTGGTACTGTAAAACGCGTCCCATTGTCATTCAATAAAAGAGGCTGATGAAGTCGTATTGCCCAAGCTGACTTCGGTTGCATTATATATTTAAGGGCTAGCGTATCGTTTGGCGCCCCTGATTCCGTCACCATCAGTGTTTTCGGAGCGTACCTGAACATTCGAGAATCTGTCTGAAGAGCTTGCAGAGCCTGTGGTTTTGGAAGCCAGTCCAAGTCAAATAAACGATTTTGAAAAGAATACACAGCGTGTCCCTTCGGGAGAGCTCGGATCATGTCTTTCAGAGAAATGTTCGAGCGTGGCACGATATATTCGTCCATGTCTACGAATGCCACGTACCTGAATCGTGCCATGCTCCTGTACAAGCAGTCGGTTGACGAAGCAATTAGTCCACACCTTATAATCCAAGACAAGAAATTAGGGTCATGCCGTTGTGCTATTTTTCGTGAAGAGGGGGGCAGCGACCAGGGAATCACCGAAATCACTCTTCTACTCACGTAGTGCCTGATGATGGGCAAGAAAAGCGATTTATTGTGGGCGTAGTCGTAAATTATGAGATGTTCTGCCCCAAACATCTTATTTACTTCAATAAATTCCACCAGCCTGGTGCTACTCTGATATGGTCCATTCATTGGTTTTACACAGATGCCCACATTGTCCTTCTTTTCCGGTTGTTTCGTGGTGTCCACTACCATAAGAATATTGTACGGCATGATGCAGCGTTCCAGGACAATAGATACTGCGTATGGAATCGGGTGTTCTTTGTCGACTTTACAGTTGATGAACAGAGGAAAGTACCTGGAAATCGATGTCATAAGAGTGAACTCTTTTGGAGAACGATTAATATATTTTATAATATTTTGATCAACTTGAGGCCATATGATCAACATCTGCCGTGAATTTTTATAGAAGCAGAACATACATGTATTGCAATTATAATTTTGTGACACCGTATTCCTAGAAATTTGCAATTAAGAAAAAGAATGGAGGAAACATGGCTACCCTCCTCTCTAGATTTCAATTGTTTTAGAGATTATTTCAGAACTAATATGAGATATTTATCAAATGAACGAAGAGTTTAAAGAATGCTGGCTAATTTAACTGAATACCACTTACATGTGTTCGCATTTTCTGTATAGAAATTTCTTCTCTCCACGAACCACCCGATTGTAAGTAACCCGTGTTTCTGGATCTGTGAACCATAGCTGACAATAGAAAAGTGGTCTCAATCCTGCAGCTGTCGAAAATGACAGCACCCGAACCAAACGTGCGTTTTCTCTGTTGTCATAGTAGGCTTGGAAGATGTAGTGTGTTTCATTTACATCTGACGTAATTGGTATTTTGGATTTAGACTTCGATGGTTTTTCGTTGACTTCCTTATGAACTGGGATCCAACCGTCGTAAGGTTTCACATACGACGGTACCTTTGGCAAGTCCGGGCAATCGGACAAGTTAGGGCTGCGGGATGATTTTGATGTATTTAGTTCCAAATCCATCTTAGACACTGCTTTCATAAAGTTCGGGTCATGGTACAGTACTCTAGGGTTAAAAGTACTGGTCATTATTTCTTCAGCCAATTCTTCATCCATCCGAAGAGCAGCAGGAAGATCGGCTAAATTATACAGAATCGTCTCATTGCCCATAACAACTGCTTCCATCCTCCGCCAGGATTCAGTAAGAATGTTGATGTAATTAAACCACGAGGCATGATAAGCAATTTTAACTGTTTTCAAAGACGCTGTCCTCATCATCATGACCATTATGGAGACACCTCCAATTACTATGAGTAGAAGAAAAAGCCTAAATGGCAGTGAAGGACCTGAAGCACTGCCAGCCATATTTTACGACGAAAATATCAGTTTATCTCGAGCCTGACACACTGGCAGTTTGCTACCAGCAGAAAGACACAATATTAAACTATATTTTACGAGCAACCTGTTGCCACTCCAAAGCTTTGAAATATTAAGATGACAAATGTAATAAAGTCGGGGATTTTCCCGAGATACAGGTAACGTCTGAGCAGAGGGTGCTATGTAATCATATAGGCCTAATAATTTTGATATGCATCTTGCAAGTTGTTTTGGCTATACTTGGGTAAAAATAAATGTTTAAAAAACAAATGAATAGATTTTTTTATTTGAAAGAGAAGAACTGACAGAAAAAAATACCAAAAAGAACGTTGCACCTTCGATTATTTCGACAAAAGTAAATGGTATACATGTACTTCAAAGTGTTTTTGGCAATGACGTAAACACGAGGTGATGACGTAATTCCTGCGACGCTCTGTTGCAAACGGCCGTTTAGCTTTAGGCGAACTCAAAATTTAAATCCTTGCAATGGATTTTTCAGAATGGTTGATGATATTTCTGTTTGGAACTATCTGTTGTGCATTTGCGGCAGAAAAGTTTGGCAACGAAGAAGATTTCTTACCTAAAGGATCAGAAGCTACTGTTATCAATGCTGAAGGGAGTGACGGTTTCTCATTTGACGTGAGCAATAAACTTGCACATATCAAGCCTGCGCTTCCTTTCGGGCAAAAGAAAATCAATCGGCCAACTGAAATTGTGCATAAAAATGATAACGACAAGGATGAAGATTCGAGGAATTCTGAAAAACTCGAAAAGCAGGAAAATAAAATTAAAAAGTATGATAATGTTAAACCGGCAAAAAAAATCTCAAGATTTGAAGGGACTGGCATAGAAACAGACGTTGATCTGCCTAGCAAAAAACCGGCTAGTGTAAAAGCGAACGGGCCCATTGCAGTACGGGAAAAACTAAAGCGGAAGTTTGGGCTTAGGTTTTCTGATAACCCAGAGAGTAAGTATCTCGTTTAGTAAATTTTAATGAAATCTTTGAACTATTTCTATGTGGCATTTAATGGTACGAACTACATTCATGGCAAGTGTTCTGGAACTTTTGTGATCTGTCATTCAGTAGGCCCAAGATCAGATTTGAATCATTAAATTTCCCATCGACAAACTACAGTTTTTCTTAAAAATAAATGATATATATTTATTGTATGGTAGACCCATGTCAGGAATGGCACCCGGGTAGGCCCCTATATGGTTGGTATTTTGATTTATTTGACAATTTATATTATTCCATTAGTTGCTTGGTTAAAGGAACTTTATTATATATTACTCTGCAGAGGACGTTAAGTGGCAAGAACCTTCGTTATCTTCAAATTGCTGGGCACAGGCCATGTTGTCGACGCGTTTTAACTTTTCTCCCAGTTGTAACAATGACGGCACGTTTGGACCCAAGCAGTGCTATTTAGAACGGTAAGGGAAATAGATTATTTAGACTTGTATTCTGAAGTTGGGATTCTTGAAGACGGCCTCGTCGATTGGCAGACAACTAATCAACTTCGAAATTTTTGTATGAATAGGCAAAATAGTGGAAGTTTGATAACGAACAAGATGACTGGCTGAAGTCTATGGCATAGCATGTGGTTTATATCATTTAACAAATTGAAGAAAAAAATATGTTAACGGCTATATGTTCCAAATGCCTTGTCTTTGTGTCCTCTTAGATGAGAGAAAACTTAATTTTAGACCAAAAATACACGTGTACTACATGAATTGTACTACATCAAGTTGTACTACACGTGTACTACGTAACGTGTAGGCCTACAATAGAAAGTGTTCATGAAAAACTTTCATTTTTATACCTACACTTCTTAAAACTACTATATCTACCGTAAAGATAAATTCTTCTGACCATATTTTTTGTCTTTGATGACAGAGTTATTCAAATTGTTTTTTCTACTTTTACTTGATAAATATTTTCTGGGTTTTTCATTTCAGCTGCTGGTGCGTCAATGCAGACGGCAGTCCGCAGGTAAAAAAATCGTCTGCTCGTTTCCATTATAAACTTGCGGGTCTGATGTTGCAGTGCAAACAGAATGGCGGTTGAATTTCAGTAACTGCTTCTATTCATTTCAAGAAAGATGTTACGTTGCAAGCTGAAAACTGATAAAACAGAAGGCCTACATTACTAGAACTAAATAAATTTGTCTCTGGCACACGGATACAAAAAAATTGTGGGTGAAAACGAATCCTTTTTGGTTAAAACAAGGAATTTTAACAAAAGGTTCTCTTAAACTTCCCTGGTTAGAAGCAATGGTGGGTGATTATATGCACTAAGACAATGGGAGTTTCGTGACCACTTTGTGGTGTGCTAGTTTTTACATGCCATGTTTTAAGCATTCAATACTGCTACGGTATATGAAACCTCCACATTTGAGAACACGCAATAAAGCAAATATTGGTGAGAGACATTTGAAGTTTGAAACTCGTTTGAAAAAAGTTTAAGGTTAAATTTACGAAGGATGACACGAATATCCTTCCGAGAGTCAGGGACTGCAATAATAGTAATAAAACAGTTAATGGGTCGTATAATAAACGATGCGAGTTATAGATGACGGAGATAAATTGCAATACCCATGTGATACCGGTAGTTCAGAGTTTCGATACGCTTTACATGATATAGCATTAAAAGGTAATAGGAAAAAGTTGGAATGTAAACTATGTATCCAGTTTTTGAGATCGATCTTCTTCGTCATCATCATCATAATAATAATACTAAAAAACCGAAGGCAAAATTATTCACTTTGAATTCTTTATTCTTTTACAACATCATACGACCTGCACAATTAGTAGAGATCATTCATAAATGGGTTAGCTTTAACAACTCATAACGTGGACAATATTCACATCTAAATTTGCAATGTAAAGTGAATACCTTCAAGTTATATTTTGAAAAAAGATTTTAAACATAAAAGTAATGAAAAGTATCTAAATGAAAATATGGAAATATACAAAAAATAAATTTTGTTAAATGAAATAACACCATACTCAAAAGATGCACCACCATATGATATAACAGTTGGAGAAATTATCAGAGACCCCATTCCCATACCTAGATCAATCTAACGGGATCAATCCATCTCTGAGGGGATTTTTGCTAAATTGCATTTAGCTTAAGTGGCTAAGATGTCTGGCACGCCTACTGAAGCTGCTAAACGATAGTTAATTACTCTCTAACAGCTTCAGAAGCTGTGCCAGACATCAAAGCCGCTTATGCTGAACGCAATTTAGCAAGAAACCCCTCGGAGATTGGTCGATCCTGCTAGATCGATCTAGGTATGGGAAGGGGGTCATAGATACAACAGTCACAGATAAACCAAAGTGAAGAATGTTAACATATGTACACATCAGCAAAGGCATAAATGAATTGTTTCTGAAAGGTGACTAGCTTCAAGGCATAGCTGTAAGGGGATTTCTTTTACCAGTGCCTCCAGATATATATATATATATATATATATATATATATATATATATATATATATATATATATATATATATATATATATATATATATATATATATATACTACTGATTGCAATAAGTGACAAAATGCTGTCAAGCTTTAAAAATTGTAAGGGCATGTTAAAAGACCTTTACAAGTTTTAGCAATATCAAATAGCATAATTATCTTTTTTTTTGTTTGTTTCAATCAAAAATGTATAATGAAAATATAATACACTTAAAAAAATATACAATTTATGTTAAGACTGATATAAATGTGTAGAATGAAGTAACAAGATATTGAAACTGTAAACATGAAATTATTTACACAGCAAAAACCCATGGTATAAATATAAAAACAAAATAGGAATTTAAATTAAACATTTCCACATGTCATTCCATCAACACAACAATTAAATTCAGTCAATACACTTAAATATTGGTTTTAAAGCTGGATATATGGTTTAAATTTCTTTAGTTAGCTTTCAATTGCACTAAATTAGGATTGCAATACAGCTGAAAATCTTTAAGATCTGTAAGCAATATAATTAAGGCTGAATGCCATGTACAAATAAATATACATACATGTATATATGTATAAATAAGTCTAATCTGGACATTAAATTATAGTTCAGCTTTATCTCTGAAATGGTTCACAAATAACCTGGCAATATACAGTATTTGATAATATGATAACATCCATTTGTTGAGAATTAAAAAATAATAGTCTACTAAGTGACTAAGAAAAGTCTACTAATTCAGTCTAGGTTTATGAATGTATCTATTATTTGGAAGATACAGAGTAAGCTAAGGCAAAATCTTCATTAAAAATGAGTAGATTTCTGTGAATATCTTTCAATGCAGATTTATACTTGCAAAATCCAGTATCCATAGGGCCACAATAAAATGTATTACTAAATGGAAACCACCCAAGCAAAAGAATGTAAAGATATAAAAGTATCTTTTAAAAAAGGGTTAATCTGACATAAAAATCCATTCTTTTACATAACGATCTCTTGAGCTTTGACTTTTTTAGCTCTTATTTTTTGAAGCAAAGTGCACATTGCAAATATCACATAAAAAAACAATAGGATCACTTCAAAAAAAAAAAAAAAAAAAAAAGAAAAAAAGATCTCTGGATTGAAAACAAAACACTGTAGCAGATGAAAAAATGTTAATTTTAAAATATGAAAAACCAATTACTTATGTAGGCACATTTACTTGCAAATGAATCACCTACTGTTTTGATTAAAAGCAACAACATCCATGATCTCATATTTTGTAGCAACCAAATAATTTGCCAGTGATGCAACAGTCCGCTGTCATACACTTCAACTGGGGTCAGTTTGATGACCTTGATTGTGTCTGACCTTCTGCAACTGGTCATATACCCTATTTTGGCCAATTTTCTAATTAATACATCTGGCACACATAGTCCAATTGTTATAATGTACCAATTCAAAAGCCGTATATTTTCATTATTGTAAAATATAAAAAAAAACTGCTCCATATAATACCTGGAATGTTTTATATGTGTTTTAAAATCCATACCTTTAAAAGGAAAACTACATTGCAGTCACTTTCCTTTAACCTGCAACCCATGTGACTGTCAGCTGCCAACCTCATCATTTATGACAAACATTTAAGAAAATCCTAGTTCTAAGTGGAAAAGGGAGATTGGCTCCTTAACATCTTGCAGAGACAACAACACGCACTTCCACCTCTGTTTACAAGCACATGCCACACCACAGTCTAAAAAACAGAGATAATGCTGCGAAAGAGTCAAGCATTTGGAGCTGTTCTCTCTTTGGTTCTTTCCCTGTGGTTGGTACACATGAACAAAACAAAGCACTGAATATATTTCAATATCCAACTTCTTTCAGACATTTAAGATTCTGGTTTGCAATTTGCAGCAGCTTCTTCTTCAATGGTTCTCCTCTTCTTGACAAAATCCTGAGCCATCTTGTCATCCGTTCTGGACTCTAGTACAGACAGTGCACCACTCACTAAAACACAAGGAACCTCAGTGAGACATGGTTAACATCCTAGTACAGATTAAAATTTCATCACAAGCTGGCAATATTGAACAAGCTGTTCATTTGGCATTTCATTGGCAAATGATAGATAACAAAACACTTATATAGATCAATGGGAAAATCCAATCACCATAAAAAAGACAGATACTTCACTGACATGTTCAACACAATTTATGATGCACTGGCATATATAACTTGCTAGGGTGCCTGTATTGATATTATATGATAAAAGTTGAGTGATAGAGCACAGAGACAAAGACTGGCAATGATAGATCCAAGACAGCAGGGAAACAGCAGGTACGTGCCCCTTCCCATAGTTTAAGAGACATCTCCCTGCTCCCTACCCCCACCCCCCAATAAAAAAGTAAATAACGACCAAAACAAGAAAAATCCAAGCATTTTCCCATCCAAGTGCCCTTAATAATAATAATAATAATAATAATAATAATAATAATAATAATAAAATCATTCTCGTCTATTATTTTATATTTGCTTAACAAAAATCCTGGATATAGTGATTGGGTGTTCCAGTAATTGCAACATAAACTTACTCTTTGGTCTTGGCTGAGTGAGAGGAAGGTGGGACTCCTTCAGAGCCTCGTATCCGGTCACCTCCTCTCCGTGTATGCCCGGGACTTCATTGAGAGAGAAAATGGCTTCCCCAGCATAGTCGTTCTTCATCAGCAAGTCATGGTCCATCACAGTAAAGAGGATAGAGGCTCCATGGTGACAGCACTGCTTCTTACTCACTGTGCTGGAAAGATAAAGAGTTGGAAATTCACTGAGTGAAACTGTGTATACTAGTACTTTTTAAATTATGGGTTCATTCTTTCACTGGATCTGCTTTTTAGCCCAAGGTAAAACTCTATCAATATAATAAGTTAAAACTAAAAAGTTTTCGGATAAAAAAGCACAAGTAACTCTGAGTAACAGAAATGTATTAGGTCTGAGCTTTGAGCAACAAAAAGTCTCTGTTAATAAAAACAGTATAAAAAAAAACTTACTATTCAAATGTCTCCTCAAAAAGAGGGTTGAGGTTATTCTTGACCACCCGTGTCTGCTGGACTTCCTGGTCAGGGAACACATGTTCTGGGACCAATTCTATCAGAACATAGGGGTCACTTAATCCTGGAATACACAGAGATAATTCATAAGTCTGACAAATTGTGAGAATATTAACTTTAATTTAGCAATAGGGAATGCAGTCAGGGAATTTATCCAGTTCTATCAAATGCTATTAGTTTTGAAATATAGAAAAATATGTACAAATTTGCTCAAATTTGGAAAATTGTTTATCTTCTAATGTACATGACAGTCAGGAGTCGCAGACTATTTACGCTTGTAATAAATACTGTACTAGTATATCTAACAATTTAATCATACCTGAAAATAAAAATATGTGAAATTTGTGATGCAAATTGAAACAACTTACATGTAGTTATGTGAACAAATGTGAACTACACCGCAGATAATTTATTTTCCCTGATAGCATAAACACAAATATTTGTGAGTGAATTTGAAAACTTACCATTTCTATCCAGTGGAATGACATCTTTAGCATGTAAGACTGAAATAACAATAAAAACACTTTGAACATTGCAACATAAACTATGACATGCAAAAGCTACATGGACTACTGACATAAAACAGTGACAGATTTTACATAAATGAGGTAAACTTAAGTACTCAATGATATCTAAATTTCCAGGTTACAAATTCAATATTTTGCATTGTTGTATTTCAATGAAAAAGTCACACCATCTTGATTGCTTTTATGTACATCACTGAGTCCATACAGAATATGATAACAGGTTAACAAGTCATAATTTCAAAACTTTGTCACATTTATATTGGACATAAAATATCAGCACATTCACTTCTGGTTGAAAATATAGCATTTTCAATCAGCTGCTTTACAATTTTTTCATAAGAAAAACACATGTATGTATGTTAGATAAATATCAAAACATACTTTCTACAACAAGCTGGTCATCTCTGTAGAATACTCTCACAGTTAGAACACCATATTCATGCTTCTCCAGTGCTTCCTGAAATACAATTTCATGTGTTGTATGGTCTTAAAGCCTAATCGTATGGTTAATTTGAACAAATACAAAACAAGTTATATAAATCTACAAATGAATTAAAGGCCTAAAAACATAACCAACTGAAATATGAAGTTTTTCATTCACACAATATGGACAAAATTTAGCAGAAGCCCTGAACAAGTCTGGATAAACCTTCAAAATAGACGGGACATAATTTCATTAACTAGTAGGCTTTTATAAATTCAACTGCTAAATCTAATGCATCAGATTTGTTCAAGATTAGTGAGTCATTATCTGTCCAGAATGTCTCTGTGCAAGCAAATGGTTATGTTATCACAGATATACTTTTCACGTGATAGCAGTTCAAATCCTGTGAAAACTCCAACTGACACCAATAGCAAAGCTTATTAAAACTATTAATTAAGAAATATAATCTACCCTAGCTGGCTCCATAACACCTACCTGTTCCTCTAATCTCTGCTGATAATATAACTCTATTAGTCTTGGTGTGTTTGACCTGTTGTACTCCATTAACTTCAGTAATTCCTAGATGAAAAAATAGAAAATATTCAATACACAGAGAATAAAAAATTATTTTGTACTTGATAAATAATTTGAAGAACTAATTTGTTTATTGAGACAAACTTCTAGTGGAAGTGTTATAAACAGAAGACGGGCGAGTTTTCATTAGAATACATATTGCCATGCTTTTAAAGTGCTGTTAGATAAATGAAGCTGCCATTATTTTCACACCTTCATTATGAAACAAAACCAAATTTCATTACTGTTACTGGTACTAGTTGCAGCAGTTTCAACTCACCCTGTACTGTTCTGAATACAACTGTGTCTTAGACAGCCCTTTCTTGCCGGCATGAAAAAAATCTTCTAAGATCTTGCAGGAGTCATACAGCCTTTCATAGAAAGATTTTGTTTTCTGGAAGATTAAATTTGAGGACAGTTCACAGGACTGAAGTCATAACATAACACTTCAATCAATTTTAAGTGCTAACTGAGTCTTGACAGTAAATACATTTATAGCCAATTTTATGGTACATTGACATAAACCAAAAGACATTCATAATTATTTTAGGGAGATATCAAATATTGGTTTTGGATCCAAATAATTATCAAAGCACTAAATTACCCAAAATTTTGGAGGGTAAAACTTAACATTAAGGTAAAGAAATTTAAAGTTAAAGTGACAACCAAATAAAAATATTTACAGGAATGCAAGGTGTTTAGTTTGAGAGCCATCTGTCATTTGGTCACAACAGCATGCAGCATAATACCTTACTCCATAATTCTTTCATTATGGTGAATTATCCATGCACAGTTACTCACCCCTTCTTCCTCTTGAGCTATCACTTCCTTTATTTCTTCCAGTACTTCCACCCATATGGAGTCGAGAATACGTTCAAAGTTGGTTCTAAGGAGATGCTTGTTAAGGGTCAACAAATTACTGTCCAGGTATTCCATCAAATGGTTGATAGCCTGTAAAATAATATTTGTGCTTTTTTTTTCAACTATTTGATTCAAGATCAAAGTCATCATCATATTCTGTAATGAACATTAAAAGGGTAACAACTGTTCATTTTCCTGGGGTAAACGGCAATTTTCCCATACTTACCAATGGTTAATGAATCCATTTCTACACTCAAAGTTAGTCCATGTTTTTTTTCTCACAAGTTTGTTTTTTGTAATAATCTCTCAAGAGATTATTACAAAGTATAGCCATCTATGGAGGTCACGTGGACTGATGACAAGCACAGATTTCAGATTAATTGCTAAAACTGCTATTTTTGTGGTAAAATAAGATGTATTTCTGTAATTTGTTTACAATGTATTTATTGTGAAATATAGATCTCATACAAAGAGTTGTTATACCATTAATATTTAGTGTTAAAATTCACTATTAAATACTGTGCTAAGATTTCACTGACTGGGGAAATCCCGCCATGTTTTCCACAATGTCTTTCAGAGCTACATGAAATTACCTTTTCTGCAGGTAGAGCTTCAGGTGCCCAGCACAGGTGAAATACATCCTTCTTAATGTCTGGTCTCATCTGAAATAAATATATGAAGACATCAATACAATATCTTAGAAAAAAAGAGACATTTTTATCACACACAAATGTTTGTATCAACATCTCTAAATTACAAGTCATGCAAATGTCAATTTTTCTCAAAATATTAAGCACCATATAATAAAAATAACCGTTTCCAGAATTTCATGAAGAATGGGTCCCAAATTATTGACAATCATTTCTTTTTCTGGGTGATGAACAATGGCAATGGCACTAGAAAATAGGGCACCGACTTTTGAAGCATAGCAACGGCTCTTTGCAAAATTCTACATTAACTTGAAATTTAAAAAAAAATTTTTTTTTTTGGAAAAACATGGAGGCCCTATATACGAACCCTATCTGCCACTCTGTCTACCACTTGTTTGATCTTCTGCACCATTTCCTTATCTGCCCCTTCAATCAGCTTGTGCAGTGCCTGTCTGGTCTGTCTCTCAGCATGCTCCCCATGAGCCTTGCCCACAGCATGTTCTATCTCAGCAAAATGAAGCTGCTCTGGAAGGGGCTTCAGGGCCTTGCGGACTTGCTCTATGTTATTGATAGTAATGCACAGCTGGAAGATTACAATTGTGAAGGATTGCTCAAGTTTTTATCACTTCCATAAAATAAATAGCTGCCTGTTCAAATAAACACTGTTTTTGAAGTCATCATCCCATGGCCCTGAAAAAATTACAGCCGTAGACATATACTACTAATATTATTACCCTCTTGTGTAGCATACTTTTTAAATTCATTATAAAATGTCAGAATCTATGTTGGACAGATTTTCCTAGTCAAATACAATTAAAGTAGGTTTATCCTTGTCTCTTCCAGATACCAAGGCAGTAAGGTGAAAATATATAGGGTTTAATAAAATATTTTTTTCCAAAATAAAATTTGTTCAGAACCATTTTTGAACTTGACGCTTAGCTATGAAGTCAAATTTTGAAGCACAACAGGATTTCTTTTTTCCACATTCTGATATATCAGAAATAATTATGGACTTAATACAGCTCTATACACCCATACATGCTGAAGATAGTATAACTTATTGTACTTTTACAATATCTGAAGTGTGGAAAAACAGTTGTAACATGTTCTCACCTGTTCTGTCACATCAAACTGTCCTATCTCATCATAATAACCAGCCTCCTTCAGTTTCTGGTGGACATTGTCTGCATAATGCTTTGCTGCTTTGCAAAGAGCCTGTAAACAATGGCTAAGTAATGCATCAAGTGACAGAATTGTCAGTTATTGAAAAAAAAAAGATTTTCTTTAAATAATTTAGACACATGTTAGGATTCTTTATTTTTTAAAGAATGTTGAATTAGTAATTTTTTTTGTTACTGAAGCTTCATATCTGGGTCAAACTTCCTCCAACTGACACTATTCTCCATAGTTCCCTCAGAACTGTGCATTCTTTGTTTAATAATTACCATTAATTAACTATCATTCAACAAGAATTCAAATAAAAACAATCACATATACACTTAATGTCACTATATTCCTGGTTTACTCTAAAACATATTCAGTAAAGAAATTAAAGAAACAAAACTACAGCTCTGAATGCACCAAAGCTTTACCCCCAATAACTGTCACACTGCACTGCACACTGTCACATGTGTCACATGTACTCACGTCAGTCAGCATGGTGACAAATGTATAGGACCCCGCAACATCTGGCCAAGAAAGGCATTTCCAGAACTCTACCATCTGAAGAATAAAAGTTTTACAATTTCTTCTTATTTACAATTATTATTATTATTATTATTATTATTATTATTATTATTATTATTATTATTATTATTATTATTATTATTATTATTAGTAATGCAGTAAACATAAAAAATATCAAGCAGAACCAACATACAGTTCAAATTAAAATTTCACATTTCTTGATGAAAAATTACATCATTCATGTTGATCTTGAACTCAATATAAGCAGATTTGTAACATCACTTGTTTCAAACTTTTCTGGTAAATCTTGTTTAATTTGTGAACTCAGAGCTAACAATCTGATAATAGTAAATTCAACAAATGAGAAATTTTGGTGAACAAATTTTATGTAGACTCAATTAAAATCTGTTTCTTTCTTATTACAAAAATTTTTTTTGGCCTACATACCTGTAGAAAACAGCAACAAACATCCACGGCTGAAGTGCTGTGTTTAATTAGGGGATCAACTGCTTCCACCTAGTGAGAAAAACAGGTACTAATTTTCATCAATTCAGTATCATATCCTCCTGTATGTGCATGATGAGTTGAAGATAAAAAGCACTGTTATAATTATGACCTGAATGCCAATTCAATCAACTATATAATGGGTATCTGTGTATATTTCTATGCCTATAGCAGACTCATCTAGCTAGGATAATTGGAAACTACTGACAACTATAGATATTATTTAAAGCGCATGCTGGTCTCTGGGCCATAAAACACAGGGCGGACACAATGCAGCTGCCATATAATAAATTTTCATTTAATTGTGATGTACACAGTAACTGAATCCATTGAAGGTATAGGGGCAATTTTTTGTATCAAAATACAAAGCAGATTTTGTGACTGATTGCATCTTAAATATGGAATGTTGTAAATGAAAGAACTGGCAAATACAATGTAAATCAAAGGAAATTTAAAATATAACAGCAAGAGAAGGTAATATATTTCTTTTTAATTATTATTCAAAGGACCTCAAATATGAATACAGCAAGATGTATGACTACATAAGGTGAAACTGACAGTGGGCATTGGAACAAAAGAAAAGAAAATATGAGCAAGAATTTCCACTAGCAACTCTTTCCCTTAAATTAACCTTTATTTAATGCATTAATATCCCAAAGCCAATGATAATCTCCAGCTATTCCACTCCATGCTACAGTACAGCTGCATTTAAGCAAAGGACTATCTTAAACAGAAATTGACTGACCAGCTTATTCAGTGTCATATCAATTCCAAGAAAATTCACCATAATGAAAGAATTATGAGAGGAAGTATTCTAATGTAAAACTGGATGAATGAATCAATTTTGTTTTATGAGACAAATAACTTGGTTTTATATGTTGAATTGCAGTTCTAAAATAACCCTGCATGCAAATGCAGCTAATCAGGCAAAAAGCATCTAAAAGCATATAGGATGACAAGTTCCTTAAACAGTACTCCATGCACATGAGGCGTAAACAACACAGACTGGGCTTGTTTAAAAAGTACTGAGAAAAAATTCAAATGACCTAAGACATTCATGCACTGGATAACTCACAAGGAATTATTACATGATATTTTTTTTCATAATGAGAAGTATAAAAATCTTTCAATACATTCATTCATTCATTCTCCTTTCACTAAAAGTAGGTTCCCATTCCTAGATCGATCTAACAGGATCCGTCCATCTCCAAGGGGTTTCTCATTAAATTGCTTTCAGCTTAAGTGGTTTAATGTCTGGCACACCTACTGAAGCTGCTCAGCGATAGTTAATTACCCCCTAGCGACTTCAGTAGGCGTGACAGACATTTAAGCCCCTTAAGTTGATAGCAATTTAGTGAGAATCCCCTCTGAGATAGATTGATCCACAGTTAGTACCATGGGGTCTGGGAATGCTCCCTAAGGTACTTAAATCTAAAGCACTAAGAATGGAATACATTAACACAGTTTGCCAGTGATGACAGCTGATGATTCACATATATACGTCAATATGCCATGAAGCTGGAATATAGGCTGCCATTAAGTAAGACAACATGCACTGGCCTTTAGAAATACATGTACATCTCACCAAATACAATCCTCCAATAATTTTACCAACTAAGACCCCATTTCCACACCTAGATTCAGCTTAAGTGGTTTAGATGTCTGACATGCCTACAGAAGCTGCTAAACGATAGTTTAATTATCCCCTAATAGCTTCAGTAGGCGTGCCAGACATCAGAGCCGCTTAAGCTGTGTGGAATTTAGAGAGAAGCCCGTTGGAGATGGGTCATTCCTGCTAGATCGATCTAGGTATGGGAATGGGGTCTAAAACTACTCAATTTCAAGCATATCCATAATTGTAAGCTTATAACAAGGTAAAATGGGAAATGCTGTTCATAATATATGATATATGCATACATATTATATATAAATATATATATATAACATATGCATACATATTATATACCAATGCAGGCATAAAGGTACATGTAGACAGGGAATTAAATTTATATTCATGCACCTACAGAAACAGATGCTGAGGTGGAAACAGACCCCTGGAATTGAATTTATTTTTACTACCTGCATAAATTTTGATGAGGATCACTCTTGAAATATTGGTGTATGTAGGGTTTTATTAATGGCACTCAGCAAAGCATACATTGTATCATATAAGGTCATATTACAAGTGCCAGTACACCAATTAATTTTTCTTAAAACAACACGACAAATACAAAAATAACCTTGATCCTCATCAAATATTGAGTAATACAGACATCAAAGTACCAGCAAGTATATACTAGACTGGCTTCAGTCAGACAATTCATTAAAAGATTTCCTTGTTTTATAGACTTTCCAATAACTTTTTATGTGACAGAGTAAGCGAGTAACTTGTACAGGACTGAATCTCATGCACTAATGATACATTTACTTCCACTGAATGCAAGTATCCATAAACCTTATACATGGCATGGTAATACATAGCATCAAGAATGTATTAGGCCCCATTCCCATAGACGCCATTGGTCCACATGGATTGACCCAATTTGCAGGGACTTTCACTGAGTGCAATCAGTTTAACAGATGAACACGCCTCTTCCTGGCCTTTAGTAGCATGCAGAAAAGATGGTGACTGTACCAGTACATATGAAACAAGAGGAGGTGTGTCATTCAGTTAAGCTGATTGCACTTGAAGAGAGTCCACACAGAGTTGGGTTGATTCATGTAGACTGATCGATGGTATCTATAAGTAAGGGGTCTGAAATTGGTAATACATATGCATCCTTGATGGCATGCAAATCGTAAACTGTGTCCCACTAAATGAGAAAACTGCCTTTAAGCTTCCAGACATAAATTGTGGTGGATAATGGCCTGTTGTTTAAGAAATAAAATTTATACAGGAATATTTTAAAAGCAATTTTCTTCACATCATCGATAAAAGCATACCTTTTCCAATTCCTGTGCAAGTGCATTGCAAGTACAAGTACAGGGAATAATATACAAACACTGCACTTCAGTAACTGATATATTACAAAATGTATTACAAGTGCAACCAAGCTATAGAATATTTTGAGTTTTAAAATATGCAGTCAAGTTAAGAATCAGGCACAAACACAATATGATATGTTATAAAATATACATTTTTAAATTAAGCATCTTAAAATAATTTAATTCACAAGGTAGCTTAGTACAATGCCATATGGCACACTTAATGTGCCAGATGAGACAACTATTTATATGTAAATGTCCATTGTTGTGATACAGAAAATAGGAAAGAGTTTCCAAGTTTACTGGTTCAACTATCTCATGTTTCGCCGGGGGTCCTATATCTAAAAAAACCTCTTATGTAGATTGCATAATCTTATGCTGCATCCCAAATGTTTCTTCATAACATAACATGAGAAAATTTTTTGGCACCGTCTACTTTTGTGTTTGTGACACAAACTGCATGTACATGCTACCACAGTGAAATAAATACTGGTAAAAATATGTAAAATATGTCAAAATCAATATTCATAATAGCAAAATACATGACAGTGCAAATAAAATTCAGTCATCAGCATGCAAGCTTTGGACTGTTCTAGGAGTGCAGTCAATATCTATGGCTGTGTGCACAATTTCACACATGAGCACTCAAAGAAACACATTTTAACTGGACTGTACATAAGTAACAATATCATCATTAAGAAATTAAAAGTTACCATTCTCTCTTCCCATGCTTTTCCTTGTTTTTTCTCATTATAATAGACAATCAATGTAAGCAATAAATGCCTTCGATGGAAAAACTCTCTTGTTCCTACAGTGTAACTCAACATAAACCCCTCATCCCTACCTTGTCCAGCTCCACAGCTTTATGTGTCCTGTTCATCAGTTTCTGTGTGGCCAGTGAGAACCATGTGGTCAGAGTACCCTTGAACCATTCATGATAGTTCAGCATGGTGAGAGCTTTGCGATCACTGAAATTCAACAGAAAATACAAAGATGTGTATGTGTGCGTGTTTGTGTGTGTGTGTATACTTGCATGTGTGTATGTTTGTGTATGCAACTGCATGAGAGAGAGAGAGAGAGAGAGAGAGAGAGAGAGAGAGAGAGAGAGAGAGAGAGACTGTGGGTACTATCTCACACATAAGACCAGTAAGGATGTAAATAAGGTACAAATATAGGGGGTGCATGTATACCAGTAATAACTGTACAAATTACACATGGAAAATTGATATTATCTTGAACATGGAATCTTTCCAGAAAAAGAATGTACATTCTCATCAGCTCAAACATGCACACGACTAACAATTTGAAAAACAAATCATCATCATAGTTCTACACAGGTTTTGTTAAACTAAAGAGTATCAACCACCATTCTTGATATCATCTACCAGTAAGACCCATCAAGCAAGTTGAAACAACATATAGATAACATAGAGTGACATTTAAGAATGTGCTTTCAATCATGGTTCCCCTCTCCCAATCACTGTTACTGCAATGCATTTTGAATTTTTTCAATACCATGAAACACTTACCTGTGTGATAACTGATCCTTGTAATGGTAGAACTCCTTGAGAGCTAGGTACAGCTCAAACAGAGTGGTGCCCAGCTCCTTGGGCTTTGGAGAACTCAGCACAGACTGGTGCTTGCTGACTTCTCTCATCTCAGCTCCTGCCTCACCATCTGCAAGCTGGAATGGAAAAAAGAGGTCTTTATTTCCAATGTCTTATGGGTTGGGAGTGTAATACAGTAGGCCTATATCTGTGGTCTATATATACGAAACTTTACACAAATTCCATACAAAGTGCTACTTGATAGTCGCATAAGTGTTACATGCTGCAACACTGAACAAGCAACAAGACAGTGATTTCAACATTACAACTGAGAAACACTTGAATTAATATACAATCATCTATGACCAACATCATGAACAGTGACATCAGGTTAAAATGGCATGTTGTAGCAACTGACATGAACATTGATGGTAAAATAGATTTTGCCATTATCTTTTGTATAATGATGATAATGATTTTCTACCTATAAGGGATGACTAATCTCCCACAGGAGCTCACACTGATGAGTCAGTCATGTGACCAACTCCCTTTGATGATTGGCCGGAATGACAGTTCTGTTTTAAAATAATTTACATTTTTATCATCCATATCCTGATGCTTTTCAAATATACTAAAGAATCCCATCATCTTTGTAATGGTGAATTTTACTATTATAATAACAAAATATCAGAGAGTGCAAACAAAAAAAAAAGAAAATATGAGTACAAAGTGGTACTCTGAAAAAGATTAATCCAACCCATGCAATTATAAAAGAAGTATATAGTACACATTAAGTATCAGTATAGCACCTAGTAATAAATATGCATAATTCTGTTTGTCTTTTCAGTCATCAGCATCCATACATTATCAAAATTTGTTAGGAAAAGAAATGATAATATTTTTAAAAATTCCAAATACAATGAAAACTATATAATGCATTTAAAGTGGGAAGCAAACAGCACATGTTCAATTTCTTATTAAGCTAAGCACATCTATAGTCAACATCTATTGTGAAAAGCTGAAATATATATTCCTTTAAAGCTTGCTAACAAGCAATATACATATACTGTTTATTGTAATTTCAGCTAATTTGGTAAAACATTTTTGTATTGAGTTCTTGAGAGTGCATATCCATAAACCATGTTATTTGAGCCTAAATGGGGATCTTACACAGGATCTGTGGTAAAGGGACAAGAGATTGTATGATATCTAAGATTTACTGTACAAAGTGGATTGAATGAATCTTGTGAATTAATTCATATGTTAAGTGCAGCAAAGACATGCAAAACTTTGTTAATAAAAGCAAATACATGCAAATATATAACACAACTGAGTAAACCCATAACTAAGCAAAGTCATTCATGAATTATATTGCAAACCATTTTTGCTTTTATTTCACCTTACTTAGTTCACAAAACAAACAGATATTGTGCATCTTGCAGTTATCATACTGAATAGTGTGATTAACACTCCTTTTCATTAACTTTCCAGTTATGAATCAACATACTCTTTCTTTTTTATATATATCAGTGAATATCAAAATTCCCTATTATTGACAAAGAGGAAAGATGCATGAATACATTTATAAATAAAAAAGTTTGATGAAATAAACAGTTCAGGTGTACAGGTGCAACTGCAGACTCACAAGCCTTCAAAAACCTTCTCAACAAGACCAACAAAAAAAAAACTGTGTATATATATAGAAATGCTATGCTGTATGCCTGCAGATGCTCTTGGCATAAAAGCAAAAATGGTTCACCCCAGACACATTCTCTAACTGACCTCCTCCTCCAAGATAGCACCGGCATCATCAGCAAGCTGGGGGGAACAACAGCAATCAACTACACCACTGCCATAGACACTCAACATTGATCTTTTACTTATTGGTAACATTGTCCTTATAACACCAGTTTGGCAGTACATACATATGTTCACCAATTAATACAATTAAGTACTGAGAGACTTTCTTTAAAACATAATGGTGCTTGTAATAGTCATTTCTGGGACATGAAGAATATATTAGGCTATAAATGCATTCGTATGCAATTGGCAAACACTAGAAAAAGGTTGCCTGATACATTTTGGTGCAATAAATGAATAAATTCATTAATTAAATAATTAATTAATTAAAATAAAAAGAGACCAAAGTAATTTAGTATTTGTTTTGATCCTGTCACATGATCTTGATTCACCACTGCAGAGTTTGCCCTCTGTTAGAATAAAAATCTGAAGCTTCCTTCCCCTCTCCCCCTTTTTCTACATGTATCACACAATCCATTAGATAGGTCAAATCATGGTACTACTTACCAGCTTCTCAATTTGTTTGTAACTGCTTGGGAAATAATTGACCTTGACAATGCTTTAATAAAATGAGAAGTAAAAATATTGGAAGTTTCAAATTAAATAATGCATGAGTTCAAAGATGGCACTATACTGATACATGTATGTCTAAAACTATGTTTCTGAACCACTGCCTGCTTTAAAATAAAGTACTCAATAATATAAGAAATAAGAGACCCAGGTATATTCTATGAGTGAGTATATGTCAATTTGCCTGCAGCTCAAAAATGACAATGCACACTTAATGTTATAGTATTTAGTTTCAAAAAGTTATTAATTGCTCATGTTCAGTTTGTTAATTTGTATACTGATAGTTGTTATTAGATATTTTCCTTACCTTTGAAACAGAGGGTGATAGTAATGCTTGGCTTTGTGAGCATCAATGTTGATGATGTTAACAAGTTCTACTAAGCTATTGATGGTTTCTTCCTCACTCTGAAATTAAGCATAAATTAGCAGATGTAATACGGGCATCACTGTTGTATTCCTATTTCATTTTTAGACTCCAACATTTGTTCGTATTGCCTGTAAATGTTGGTGCCCATACAATGTATTTATGTGTAGCAGAGCTTGTTATCGATTTCCATAGCCTGAGATAAAATATGTATGTTGCACTCCATGCCACAAGGAAATAGGAATTGGTTAATACGAGGCAGCAAAATTTCACTGTGAAATGCATGAAAGGTTCACAGTATTATATTACAAAAGCTTTTAGCTAGCATGTTTATATATATACTAAACTGAATGATAAAAAAAAAACAAACTTAGGTTAAGCCATGTGACCTAAGTGTAGGGCTTTGTTATACAATTTAAAATGTGATAAGAATATGAACACAATACAAAGACTGGTGCAAATACTACAACCATGACCGAAATAAAATTTGATCTTAAAGTTCACCATATGAAGCTAAAACAGACCTTGTTATCTATTGAAAAATACAATATTCACAAAAGCTAAATCACTGAATAACAACACCTGAAGAAAAAGTCATGGAAGAAACAAAACAAATTCGATTCTCTGGATCATCATATGAAAATGTAAAGATCAATTTTAAAAAAATAGATTTTCAGTTTAGATAACTGCAAAGTGTTTTTTTTTTGGGGGGGGGGGGGGCAACAGCCAACTGCGGAGTAAATCTCTGAACTGAAAAATATGATAAAAGGCTACCTCAAAGCATGTTTTATAAAGATACAGAGATCAAATATACATATTTTGAGTGCATATTATGTTTAAAAAAAAAAGACAAATCAGACAGAAGAAAAAATATCAAACCCAACCTTGACTTAAAGGTTTTGACATAAGCATATACCCAAATTCATAATTCAAGCAAATAAGTCATGTTTGGCAACATTAACAGTGCCAGCTGTGAAAATGCAGTTCTTCATTAGTGATAGCAAAAAGTAGAACCCACAGCCTTGTACACAAAAAGATTAAGAAACTTTTATTTTGTTCCTTATAAGTAAAAAATATTTTTATTTTCCTTTAAAATGTTTACATTTGCTTTTTTGTGATAACATAGATATGAAAAAAGGATTAATCACAAGGGCATTAAACAGTAAAATCCATGAAATGCATGAATCATTTCTACTAAGAACAAGTTTTAATCAAGGATGAAAGAGTCATTATTTTGCTTTTAAATAAAAGTATTTATTCAAATCACGCTGCAATATTCTCCCAAAAATCTAAAAATAAATAAATAAATAAATAAATAAATAAAGAAAGAAAGAAAGAAAGAAAGAAAGAAATACCCAAGGAAAGGACAGACATAAATATCCACACCCAGTATCACTAGGTATGAAACAAATAAAATAGTTTATATCAGACACCTTTAGTAAGACCCAGACAATTAAAAAACACATAGACAAAGGAAAATCTTAATTAGACAACTGACATGGCAGATATATAATATGCCAATGGGCAAATGTTTTCAGCATTCTGGCAATGGATTTGATAGAATCTGATATAATATGCAAGTAACTGCAGTGTTCAAGTTACTGCAAGTGAAATTCAGAATTTTGTTGAAGAAAACCCCACTTTAGACTAAAATATTTGTCCCTGTGATATCTGTACCTAAAATATACCTCTGAAAAAAACAAACAAACAAACAAACAAACTTTCACTATCGTATTGATAGTTGCCAACAACCAAAGTTAAGTTTAGTCATTTCAGATTTTTTTCTCAGAAAAACAAGACTCTAAGGAACCAATGCAGGATGTTGGAAGTTTGATCGATTCAAATAATTGTCTTGCATAATCTAGACAATTGGCAACTGCATGGGTTTTGCAGAACATAAAGACAATAAAGGCAAACAGAACAAAAAATCAATGTGCAATATAAGCTGCAGCTGATTCCCTTAGTGCACACATATACCTCATAATCCTCTGGTAACTCTCCAATTGTGGTCACATCATCCATGAGCTACATGTAAGGCGAAAAGCAATTAAGGCAAGAGATCAGTCACACAGGCATAGTTCTAACTTAGGAACCTACATATGGTGCTCAATAAAAGTTTCTACTTTGTACTAAAAATTAATAAGGAAACAGGATGAATAGAAAAGAACAGTTAATGGGAAAGATATTCTTGTGCCAATTTACCACTTTCATTTCAAACTACTGGTAATGATGTCATTAATCATCACATGCAATGCACACATTAAATATTTATGTTGCATGCAATCAAACATTTCACAAAAAAAGACTACAAACACTACAGTACCTGTTTACCCTTAGGTTTATAACAACACTAATTTTCTCTACAAAGCTACTACGATAATGCTATGAGTATAATGAATATGTAAAACAAAAACTGCTTTGGTAACATATCTCTAAAGCTATCTGCTATGTAAGTGTGCAACTTTACAAATTGAGTGCTATGATGTATGTGCTAAGAGTAGCAGGTTACTAGAAACAGGTATGCAAAAGTTGCAAATTAACAGGAGTGTCTAAAAAGACATAAAATACGCTTTAGTATACACCAATTAAAGCAACATTAATCATATGTGAACAGAAACGATGAACAAAACTAACTAACCAAATTAACGTTGCTTTGGTGGTACAACATGCAGTGGTATCTGCTAATTAATGCTTGGCATTTCATCTATGAATGTATATTTTGCTTTGAAAGAGAACAGGACAGCATTAATTGATGTGCCATAAATTACATGATTTATTTTTTACCTTTGTGATAGGTTTGACCTGGGCATTTATCTTCTCATACCACTCTAGGTTTCCTTTCTAAAATAAAGCAAAAATGAATTCAAAGATGTTTTCTCAAAGAAAGAAAGGAAAAAGAAAAAAAGAAAGAAATAATTTTACTGAGACAAGCACATATGTGTACACGCTTTTGTTTTACTTTTTGTTTCATTAACGTTTACAAAAATCTGAAACTCATGACTCAATAATGTAAATATGAGGACATCTTATTAAAGATACAGCACAACTGGTAAATACATTTATCACATTAACAACAACTGGGCATAGCACACACAAGATATAAAATTCCAATCAAATTTGTTCTATATATGTTTTGAAAGTGTACAGATGGGTCCTTCCTCAAATCATTTTCACAGTGATTTATTTTTTCACTGTATACATATGCTGTTATTTCCACGTTTAGTTTTTAAAGTCTATAGCTTACCTTAATAACTTGGACAACTTCTGAGTGTAAATCTTTTTGGAAAGGGCAACACTTCTTGAACAACCTCATATCATAAATATATACCAAGCACCTGGAAAACAAAACAATATTAACAGGTCCAAGTTGTTCACTGACCCTCATTTTTACAAAAGCATTCAAGTACAATTATGACTGTATAAGTCATTTTATATTTGGGAAATTGCAATGGTAAACATTATTGCCCACAGGAGTAAAAGATTAAAGCAAAAATGGGTTCAAAGCCCAATATGGTTTTGATAGACCAATTCATCTAACTTTTAGTTCATCCCTGAATGAAACTCACTTCTCTGGGAAACAACACCCAAACTGTTGGATACTCTGAGCTTACACTGTATATGTGCCACTATGGGTTGTCATTCACAATAAGTATTGGCTAAGATGTCACAAAGTCTAGTGAATAAATCTAAGATCTAGTGCATTTTTCTGGGATTTAGGTGAGAGTGGGACCAGGAATAATGGCAGACTAGCGAGTGCAGTGCAGTAACGAAAATCAGCTGATATAACTTATACACGTCAGTTATGACTTACTTCAGTACAAACTCCAGCCTATGGTATGCAGCTTTGTTGGTTGGTGGAAACAAGTGTCTCATGTTGCGAATGAGATTCAGGCAGTATTCTATAAATATGTTGAAGGATTCCACAACAGATTCTTCCTGAAATGTATAAATGTTTAATTGTATTGCTATGATATTGGTATAATCCAGTGGGCCTCCATTTTAAAAAACAAAAGAGATCTTTATAAAGTTCAGAAACAAGACTCCAAAAGCACTTCAACAGACAGAAGCATTAGACTTTGACTTCTCAACCACCAACACCTTAGATTCGTAATGGATAAATAACAACAGGAAGGAGAAGATATCAAATGTACAAACTGTGCCTGTATAAAAACTGCACATAAAGAGATAAAATGATATATAGACATTCTATAATTTGTATCAGAACAAATTTTTGAAATCACCAAATGGATTATATGAATTATTTTAGCCCAATATGGAGCATACCTCCTTATTATTTTAATTAGGAAAAAATCAAAGTTCCAAAAAAGTTGTTCAAAGTAATTTGGGTGGCAATTTCTAAACAAGTAAAAACATACATATTTCAAGTTTGCCAAACTCTTGAAACAAGTAGAAATCAAATTCTGTTACACCCTGTGATGGTCTGTTAACCTTTTTTTAGTCACATACAGTATATACCTCATCTCTTGACAGGGATCCTGGTTCCCAGCTTTTTTCCAGCTCTTCAAGGACTTGAAGAAGGTATTCATAGTCAAACGGGTGCTCCATGTGTTTTCTGCTGTATGACAGCCAGCGACTACAATACAAAAATCTATGTAAGAAACAGTTTGATGATGTTCCTTTCAGTTTAAAAGACTGCACCACAACCAAGGCTGATAACTGCATACTTATTATAAACCCTAGCTAGTATGTTAAATCCCCTTGTACACTTAACCTGGGATTAGATTTAACAAAAATGTACCCAATACCATAATTTTAGTTAAATTCAAACATAGAACCACATCAATAATTCATCTGGAAAAGCACTTTTTTTGTCAAAAACAATTTGCTTTTGCTTAATCAGAATGTCTTAAGCAATTAGCTACAGTCAACTACCTATGTACATGTAACTCATATGAGCCCAACCACTTCATGGGGTCCAAAGTTACCCCCCCCCCCCAAAAAAAAAAAAAATGCCCACCACATGGCTTGCTGTACAGGTGTGATGTCTCCCTGAATAGCATGCTGGTGGAGGATAGTCTGTGCAGCCTGGGGGAGTTCTCCAACCCATTTATACACCTCCTAAAATTATGATAGAATTCTGGAGTATATGTTGTAAGTGAATATTAAATCTGACTGGCTTTGGCATCATTTGTAAGACAAATATATGTTCACTTCATATGTTGTTTAAAAAACATTAAGACCCAGCAGATATCTTACTATTTTCAAAGATAATAGGGCTAGTAAAAAACATATGGCTCATAAGTTTTCTTGCATCTTGTCTGTATATAGTATATTAAAAACTGGACTTACATCACATTTCTGAATTTCATGTTCAATAAAAATTGCCATCAGATCTTCATGTTGTCGCACGTCTGTCCAGTTATCTTCCTCAGGAATGCCACGATCTTCTCGCGTGGCAAGGTGAAATTTCAGTCGTATCTGCCCCTGGACTGTGCGTTTGGCCTTCCTTCCTTGCAGGGAAAACCACTTGTCTATGCCAGTGGATGGAATGTCCTACAAAAATTATATTGCATTAAAAAATCCACAGTACTGTATATTATTTATAGTAAGAAATATATGTATTGTATGCTGCTTGAAAACTGGTTGAATACAAAGTGGTCAAGATTGCAGGGTCCATCTCTGTTATCTAGCCCACTGCGTCAGTGAGGGATAATTTTTAAACTTGCTAAATTTTTGAACTTGTGGGAGGGAGGGGGGATGTTCATGCATGTGTATTGGGTTGAACTTAAAGTACCCACTTCCTAATGTAAGCCCTAAGTACATTTTACAAAACTTATGTGAATAGCATTTGTAGCAGCTCAGAAATTTCTTTCTCTTTAACAGCCCATGCCCTGTACATTTTCATTTTCAAACTTTGTCCACATTGAGGGTATCCTAACTGACAGTGTCACTCACATGCAGACTGGTTGATATGCATCCCAAGAAGTCATCCACATTTCCAGAACTCCCTGCCCTGGCAGACTGGGCAATCTGCTTGAAGAAACGACTAAAACCTTTAAAGCCAGATACTTCATTCAATTTTTTTGCTGCCTCAAACACTGAAGATTCATCATCGTGGTCCCTTAAAATATGAAAAATGAATCTTGATATTAGTTTTCTTTTTTTCTACAGAAAAAATGCAATCTCAAATATGTCAAAAAAAATCTCACTGATTCAATGTGATGTAATATACAGTTATCTAGATCTAGACCATAAAGAGTGATAAAAGGCAATGAATAAAATGCTAATTCCATGGCAATTTCTTTACTGATGTACCACACATTACACATGTTAACCACATCTACATTAAATGGTGATCATGTGCATGAAATTTCCATGGTCTTTGGACTTCCAGCAAACACTTCAAACAGCATTTACAATAATGTGGTCAGTCCACTACAAACTCTTATGTCTACAGAAAATTTAGTTAACTATATTGTAATTATTGTTTCTACCCTAAGTAAAGACGTTATCAATTATGTAATTTGCTTCGTAGGGCTGTTTCCCCATCAAGATCTATCTGATTTAATATTCAATTTACCAAATATCAATATGAAGCTTGTCGCTGTTGACATCTTCTAGATCACTGAAAATACAAAGATATCATGTTTTATAGCACTACCAATCAATTAAAAAAATAAATTACACATTATTCTTTTTTGTTATCTACACATAAATAAGGATCTCTCTATAAAACTTTTAAATCTGTTCATATCCCATGGAAAAGATAGCACATCCATTTGCACTGCATCAGAGATCTCTTAAATTTATTTGGTAGAAATAAAGTGGACTAATAATAGAGGACTAAAGGTTTTAGGCAGTGGGACACACTGAAGTATCATCCAAACTTTTTTTTTTGCAAAATTAGCCTTCACATTTGGTATTTAAATCTCAGAATAATACATTACCAAATCACCACTTTAATTTAATTTCTACTTCACAGACCTTAAGAAGAACTGTTGAAACCAATTACAAGAAACAACCAGCATGAACAAGCTATTATAATATAATGCAAATATCGAAAACAAAAATATACTTACAATCTGAATTTTTCATTCCACACTGGATTAAGTGTATTATTCTTCACAGTGGTTGCTTGAATATATTTAGCAGGTAATTTCTCCTTTTTGTCTGCTTTATTGCTGCCATGTTTTTTTCTAAGACTTTCAGAGAACTTCTGTAAGGGATTTTTCTTTTTGTGATGTTTCTCCTCATCTGAAGAAAATCCCTCGTCCTTGGCATTGGCTGCTCCAGAGAGACGACTACCTGGGATGATTCCCAACATACAGTAAGGATCACTAAAGCCTGGAAATTGAAGTCAAATATAAATAATAAACAAGACCACCCAAGAATCTCAAAAGAAAACATAGAAATGATGAGTCCTCTTCCGCTACACTATGAGCAAACTGAAATCCCAGCATCATGCTGATCTATACGTACATTTAGGTTTTCATTTTAATGAGTTGCCAGGCCCTATTTTTTAAGACCTTGATCTGTAACAAGCAACTTCATGTTTTGTTTTTTTTTTGACCAGTGGACCTTTTCACAACAAAACCTGTGTATTCATAAAATTCTTGATTTAGGGCCATAGCAATACTCCCAAGGTTCAATAATCCAAAAGTTTATTGGTCCCAATCTTCACTATAAAACCTTCACACCAATGAACCCTTGATTAAAAAAAATGATGGATATGTTACCATTTTTTCGGACCAATGAACCTTTGGACTAATATAATGAGCCTTCAGACTATTGAGATGCTCCTGTTGATTCAGAGTGGACTCATCCCTAGTCAAAAGGGATGTTTGTATGAATCCCCCTCCCCTCAACATGCCTACATGTACATGTATTAACCTAGCCCTTGGAGTTGATGCCATATATCCTTACTACCTCATGCAGTCAGAAACAGGCATTCAGATCTGCAGCTACCTGTACAATCACATTATTATTGCAACACACACCAAGTGGAGATTGTGGAGTGTTGCCTAATTCTTATGAAGCAGTTCCATCACATACATAAAAGGTACATAGCAGGTCTGGGCTTGTGATATGTTAAAACTAGGGTAAACTTAAACTTGTCCCTATCAAATAAAACAAATGGGTTTGAGAAAAATTTCGTCCTTTATTGTGTTTCATGGTGTTGAAAAAATAAGATGTCACTCTCAGTAGCTTCATATAAGATTGCATGGTTCTTCAATGGGCTATGTTATGTAATTAAAGATATAGGATATTTCAGGGCCCCCAATTTAAACTACCACACACAATGATGAACATTACTGACATTACTGCCTCCTAGCCTTACCATTAAATACTGGTGAATAGACACTGAGGCTCATTGGTACTGTTATGGGATTTATCAATGGGTTGTGGGGAATATTCTAAGACCGGGGTGTAATAATGTGGAAACAGTGCTAATTCTCATAATGGAATAGAGTAGCTATAGGTAGTTGGGGAGCCCTGATATGAAGCATAAATGGTGTGTTACCTTATGAAGCTGAAATTAATGTTTTATTATTATTGACATTATCCTCACCATCTGCATCTTTAGCTTCCAGACCCTTGGCTTCTACCACTGTCACATTCAGTATCACTATAGGAGGCTGAAAATGAAGATTGGGCCAAAATCAATCTAAATGAATTATTCACGCAAAAATGACATGCATAGCTATAAGTCAAACATGGAATTACAAATTACTATACACAAGATGTCCAGAATGCTTAGATGCACGATACAGCTGACATTGTTGTACAAATGGGAAATGTAAACAAGCTCAGGCATAAAGATCAAGCAACAAATCAATAGCCATCTTTCTTAAGGGACACTTTCTGGGGAGGTATGATAAATTGGGTATTACTAGCACACCAGGTAACTTATTAAGGCATTAAAATTGTGCCAATGCCTAGTTGTTACAATGTCATGATGCATTCTTCAAATTTTGTTATTTCACACAGATGGGATATGATATGACTTTGTTAAAAACTGTCTCCATTTAAACACTGGCTACAAATGAAAAATACATGTCACAAATGGGGAGGAACTTTCCCACTTTCAGACTTTTCCTGCTAACTGCAAATATAATTTATCACCTAAATAATTGCATAAACAAAACAAGGCAGCAAAGCTTTCAAATGGACAGATATATTTATAATAATACTGATAGAGGCAAAGGCATAATAGCAGCCTTAAAATGATAAACAATCAATTTGATGATGAAAGTACGCAAATAAAAGATTTTAGTCAATTTTGATGAAATATTTCATATCGATCAATGGCATAATTACTTCCAATATGTACTAATGCTATGCAGACATTCAGAAAATGATACCAATACAGGGTTTCAATGCCAAGGGAATTCAAAGTCACAACCTGAAATTGCCAATAAGTTAAAAAATGAAAATCTTCAAAACTTAATAAATTATCAAACATGAGCTGTATTTTAGTCCTGTGAATCAATCCTCAAGTTTGAGAATAATAAGTAACATGTTCATCCTTTTATGGTGTTTATGAATAAAATGATTAAGGCCAAATTCACAGTGACAGCAATAAAAACAACAGATGCTAGTGATGGCTGTATATCCAGACATAGTGTCTGTCCATATAATTATCCAATACGTGCAATGTATTTACCTTTTCCTCAGAGGCCTTAGCCAGCAGACGGGCATGGTCTTCTGGGCCTACTCTGAATGACTCCTGAGCATACTGGTATAAATCATGGATGTATGGGGAATGGCCACCACTGGTAGTACCAATTTTATGCTTGATTGTGTACAATACTTCAATGTACAGCAGCTCAAACTAAAAAGAAAGAAAAAATCCCTCATTTGCATGTAGGGAATGGCAATAATGTTGTGCGTAAACTAATCAGCACTGTTTTAACAATTACAATGATCATGGTCTTTTTAAATTTTTTTGAGTGTTGAAGTTACATTCATTATGCCTTTGGAGCTGCTTTTTTCCTGCCATATTATTGTTGTTGTACCAGTTTGGACAACATTGGACAATGAAAGAATTTGCCTGAAGTATTAAGGCCATAAAGGGAAATGAATAATGTTTTATAGGATAGACAAAAATAATAAGGAAAAAATTAATACATAATGTCAATTACTTAAAAAGCTAAGCTTTTTTCTACACACAAAAATATTCCGTTTAATCTTTTCAACTAATTTTACATAAGACTTACTTTTTTGCTTTTTTAAAAAATACCTGTATATTACATCATAGAAGTACTTCTATGAATATATATACCTTTTACCCACTATAGCACTAACAAGTTGATCACAAATGAATCACCTCTTTTCTTGATAACTTGTGTGATTTGGGGTGTGGTACCACACTGGTCTCACATGGTGGAGGATGGTCTGCTTCATTAGCTTTGGCATTCTGTAGATACAAGATCACCAACCAACATATAAATAAGAATCAATACTGAACTAATTCTTGTGAAAAATGGACCAACCCTGAAGTAATAGCAATAATCTTCTGTTGAGCATCATGATATATGCTATTAACTAAGGAGAATAGATGAAGTATGTTTGCTGACTCTGGTTTCATCAGACTACCAACAGAAGAGGGTTATACTAAGAATAGAGGGGTCAACCTATGAGTATCTTTAATTGTAAATGAAGGGTCAACCTAGACCTTGAGGTTGGCTGTGCCCCATTGCATATCACTATTCCAGTTTATTAACTGGTAGAGTTCATTGTACTGTTTTATCTTTGTAATGGTGGATTTGATAATAAAAGGAAAAAAAGGTGGTGTGCAAAAATTGAAATTGCATTATTCTCTATATACACTCTTACAGAGGAATTTTCTAAATTCTTGCAGCTTTTGGCATTCTGAAATCGCAGTCAAAGACCACCCTCTTCAAAGACCCAAGGCATTATTAATAGGAAGATCTATTTTTTTTATACATTATACTATAGATCACACCTCCCCATCCATGCTGTATTGTTACTAGAGATTGGCAAGTGGCAAGCTTTAATTATACAGTTGGCCGCTCCCACAAATCAGGAATAATAGCAAAATAATTTGTAAGACTTGCACAGCAGAAACCTAGGATATTTGTCCATCTGCAGCAACATGTGGATAAAAAGTACATAGCTTTGAACTACAGCATATAGTTTTGAACTTCAAATAAAATACAATGTGATGTAAACTTGTAGTCATGTGAGCTCCTTTAGTGTTCATGGAGGGTGAATATATAAGTTACCACAATATGCAAACTATTTATCTCTTCTCACAAACTTGACTACAACAGACTTATGCAGTCAATGCTAGACTACATATATATACATAAATATTTGCACAATATATGCCATGTACATCTCAGCTTTGTTGTCTATACATGCACATTAAATGTGGAGTGAATATGATGTTTATATAAATCTACAGTCACGCTGTGTGAATGGGATGCATTGAGAAGCCAATTCAAATACAGGACAAGCTGTGACAGTACATGTACCACATATTTAGAGATCACTTATCCATGAAGGCACATCATCATAGTTGAGACTGAAATCCAGACAGATTTCAAATTTTGCCCACTTGGAGGATGGGGAGAAGGCAGTGGAAATGGTTTCACCTAATCAACATTGAAATTGGAACATTGTGTCTATCAGTATATTTTTAATTTAAAATTAAACAATCGACTGACAATTTCAAGAAATACTTAAAGTACTTCTCCATTCGTTATGAGATTAAAGGGATAAAAAATGGTTGTTTTGGCCACAGATGGGTTTTTCTGGTGCACATAAATGCTGATCTTCCCATACTTACCAATGGCTAATGAATCCATTCCGACATTCAAAGTTAACAATGTTTTTTCTAAAAAGTTTGTTTTATTGCAATAACCTCTTAAGAGATTGTTACAGAGGTACCAATATTGTCCGTGTATGGCGGGGCAAAGTGATTTCCATTTCGTCAGAAAAATGAACTGGAAATCACTTTGCCCCCCCCCCCCCCACCACACCACACACGGACCCAATATAACCATTTATGCAGGTCCATGTGGTCTTGATTAGATGACAAGAAAAGATTTACTTTGATTTCAATTTTCTTTGAGACCCCAAATAGTGCAGCAGGTTAATTGGTACCTGTTTGGTCATACATGTTGGTATATTTTGGAACTGTTGTATAATGTAATTAAAAAACAAAACTAAGAAAGCAGTGGAAGAGTGTATGAAGTAGTAATTCTCACAAATTGAAAATCTACCAAGACATGATTCCCTTTGAGTTCTCACCCAAACCAATTCAAAATCTGCCTAGATTTCCACCTTGACTATGATACAAACTGTGTCTTTGAGACATAAAGAAAATATGTCATGCAATGTTATTTCTGGCTTATTAAACATCATCACGTCAAACAACAGAAAATATTATCTAACAAAAATTGATATTTCAATGAAAATATTAAATCATCTAAAGCAAAGAAGTGAGTAAATGTTTGAGAAGGTGATGAATCAATATGGTCAAGTAATTACTGCCTTTTCACCATGCAAAGTACTCAGTGGGCCATAAATGCCAATTAATCAATCTTAATCACACAAAGAACAGTTTCCTTTTAATGACCCTATAAATTAAACACCTATCTTACTATAGAAATCACAAAATATCTTACAAAAAATTTTCACTATGGTGAAAAAGTTTTTCAAATTTCTCATAAGAATCTCTTATAAAAAATCTAAATGTTTGGTGTCCCCATGAGCCAATCAAGCCATAAGAATACCTAAAATATTAATGATGCTAACAAGGTTGTTTACAGTGAAACAAAAATTTGATGGGTTATAAAGCATAGTTTTCCAAGTTGACAGCGATTAAAACAATTCAGAAATGTTTTAAATAAGTAACCTTTTTGGTTAAGCATAATATAAGGCTATATATGTACCTGGAGCTGTTCTGAACTAACTTCACCACCTACCCAGCAGTATCAAGCTAGTGTAAGAACAAACAGCCATGTCATAGCAGCTTCCCAAGTCAGATGTCTTATAGTTCAAAATGAACTCTGGACATGATCTAATAACATGGGCTTTTGAAAGACCATCGAATCATTAACTGTGTATGTTCACCATAATGACAATAGCCTGGAGAAAATTAGAAGATAATTCTGATACAGTAACTGGTATGTTCAAAGCAAATTCCAATGAAAACCTACAGTGTATAATGACTTCCGCAAGAATCCCATGAATATCCCATACATTATATTGTGAAGCTCAACTAGGGCCAGGCTACTGCTACTATAGCTCTCTATCAGATGGCCATAGGCCATGACATCATTTCTAAATTTGGTGCAAAATTCTTACTGGACATCATTCTGGGCACTAAAAAGTAGACAAATGTGCACAGAATTTGCCAGAAGAAATATATAATGAAAAAATCTCTCTGCGGCCCTTGCAGAGGGTACACTACCACCACCTGCTAGTTAGTTCATTTAGGAAAATCCTACTGGAACAACCCAAAAGGGACCAAGTTGGGCCCGTGGCCCTACACGTAACTTTCAGCCAAGGATGTATCATGCTCCAAGGTATTGGCTCTTCTTTAGCACATTCATGATATATATATATATATATATATATATATATATATATATATATATATGGTCATATAATTGAAGCCAAGCTAGCTGATTGCCTTTCAACACCAAAACCACTGAATTGAAAACATTTATATCCCAGGCCTGCAGAAATCAGATGGTAACAATAATATTACTATCAACAGACTTTGACACACAGACCATAACTGGAACAGAAACAGGGTCTAAATTTGCCACGACTAATTTTTGTGACAGTTCAAATTGATGACAGTTTAGGTACAATGTAGCTAATAGTACACAAGTCTCCAGTGGAAGTTTGTGACCTTCTAACTTAATGTTTATTCCAAATGGAGATTGAAATGCAGTACTTATTTTCAGTCTTCCAGCACTTTCTTTATAGATTAGTAGATCCAGAGGAGGCAAATGCCTGGCTTCCTCTCCCTTTTTCAAATCAAAATGGCAAGTTCAGCAAACTGGAAAAGGAAAGATACAATGCCCTTTGCCTACGCCTCATATACATATTGTTTCAAAATGTGTTTAAAAAATTAGGGGGGGGGGTATAATTCTAGATGTATCAGTGTCACATTTGCATTGAGGCTTACTAATAAATAAACTGTGCACAGAGTTTAATACAATAAGTTTAGGTATCACTGAGGTGTACACTACATATCTATGCCAAAAAGTGAGCTAGTATAACCCAAGAAAGACTGTCCATATGTTACCATGTCATGTATCACTACTGTACAGTACCCCTATTGGCTTTGGTAAACACCAGCTAGATCATTCTACATATAATCATTCTTATAGGCAAAATCACACAAATGGCCAGAATGACTGACCCAATAACCAGCAATAAATCTAACATGCATTTAATCAATAGCATTTAGTTAAGATTATGGCGTACTGATCTCATACTGAGGAGCCAACACATGGGCAGTGGCATTAGACATGTACATGCTACTAGGGAAAATTACAGCAAGCAGTTTATGCATTCTAAGACTGGGTTCCCATGCCTAACAGGATCAATCCATCTCCAAGGGGTTTCACGCTAAATTGCTTTCAGCTTACTAGTAGATGGCACGTCTACTGAACCTGCTAAACGATAATTAATTACCCCCTAGCAGCTTCAGTAGGTCTGACAGACATATAAGCTGCTGAAGTTGATTGCAATTTAGCGAGAATCCCCTTGGAGATCGATCCACAGTTAGTACAATGTCTGGGAATGGTCCCTAAAGCTCTACAGGAGAGATTACCTTTTGCTGCAGGAGCATTGATGTTAGTGAGACATAAAGGGATTCTAAAGATGTAAAAATCTAAAGATGTATAAAGCAAATCAAAATCAAAACAAAAATGCAGACTATTACCTTGCCCTTTTCTAAACTTTGCAACTGTAACAAACAGAAACAAATAAAAGACATTGAAATTGAAGTACAGATTTTGTAAAGTGTGTGTGTGTGTGTGTGTGTGTACGTGTGCATGTGTGTGCATGAATGTACTTGCTGTTATTTATCTGCATGTGCATCCATGCACACAGTACATGTAAATTTACATTTAAAATAGGCATGCTTGTTTGAGCATCTTCATGAATGTAAAGCCTGTGTGTGGGTATTTTATTGGTATGAATAATCATAAAACATAAAGGGTGATGGAAACTGATGCCATATCATACACAGTTGGGATACACAGATTATATAATTATTATTATTTTACATGATAGCTAGATATAGGAAATAGCTTTCAGCACTTTTTTTACCTTAAAGAGATAACAACTGTTTGTTATGAAAAAAAAACAACATTTTCCAGGGGTAATCAACATTTTTCCCATACTAACCATTGGTTAATGAATCCATTCTGACATTCAACGTAAGTCCATGTTTTATTCTAAAAAGTTTTGTTTTTAGTAATAATCTCTTGTGAGATAATTAAGGAGGTACTGGTATAGCCATCTATGAAGGTCCGTATGTGGTCTGATGGCAAGCACAGATTCCATTATAATAATTTCAATAACCCCTGTTTTGGGGTAAAATGGAGTTTCTTTTATTTCTATGGGTTGTTTAAAATGTTTTTATTTTGAAATATGAAACTCATTCAATCACTTGTTAATTATCCCTTTAAAATTGGAATTTGGAGTTTTTTGACAGATTTGGAGTTGATGTTTGTATACTGTGTCTGTGACATACCTAATTACAGGTATGTAAGCAAACTATTTATGATTATTTTCCTATTGTCCTATAATTTTCTTATTGTTTTGAAAAGAATATATATATATATATATATATATATATATATATATATATATATATNTATATATATATATATATATATATATATATATATATATATATATATATATAGGACAATCCTTCCAGCAATGTGTTGCCAATTTTTTTTTCATAGCCCTTTAAGTTTCCATTTTTGTAGGGACTAATGTGTATAAAGGTCTGTGAGTAGGCATGACATGATAAATGAGTAAAGTATACTTAAATAAACTGTTATCAAACTGTCTTGAGCTTTTAAGGTTGACTCTGCTAAATTAAATTTACATAAATCAAACATTTTTTCTTATCAGGACTTTGTAAACATGTACAAATTTCTTCTGGATCAAACTTGCCCTCCCCCTACTCCAAGCTGGTGGTCCAGATAATATTTTCCATGGAGATTAATTTAAAACTAAAACAGTTTAATTTGAAATGCAATAATTTAACACTAGTGTCTCATCACTCTCATGGTTAATGTACATCAGTAAGTATTGACAGGCAGCTGACAACCTTAGCTCTTTAATAAATCATATAAAATCTTTTTTTCAAAATGTGTTCAGTAACTGCTTTTTGTTTCAGTGAAGAACAGTTAAAATTCAACATCCAGACACTTATACACCCACCATGTCTAATGGCAATCTGTTTTGCCTGTATCACTATTGATATAACCCAAGCAAATACTACATGTACACACCTTGCCCATCTCGTATTTAAAAGAAAAAACTCAAAGCAAATAAAAATAGGTAAACAAGAAAGGCAATAAAACACTTACCTCATGTGCTGTGCGCAACCTATGATTCTCTTGTTTCCACGACAGAGCTGCAAAGTTCTCAAAGAAATTCCCATCAATTTCTTGAACGCTGCAAAGAATAGCAAAAGTATCAATATCTCTGGACTTGCTCAGATGACTCACAATCTTTTTAGTGCTAGATCTAGGATGTTTTTGCTGTTTCTCCATTCTACTGTCCACAGTGCTGTCTTTTCTGTCTCTAGGGATTCTATCACCACATATAAAGTAGAAAACAGGGTGCCCGGTTCACCCAGTCCTCCAGATGAAAATAGAAGAAATAAACCCCAGTACTGCTGCTAGTATGAGGAGGGGGGGCCATATCAAAAAGTAAGATGTGTAACAGTTACTTGGTCTATTGACTTGCTAGCATAGGGAAAGATTACAAGTGACATTTGGAACAGTTTCCCAATGACCTGTTAACTGTTAAATCAAACAGTTGCATTACATGTCAATCTTTGCTTTACAGGCAGGGCTGAAAATACAGTGATGAATTAACCTGTTGCACGACCAACCCTTGTTTTAACACATTTATATACTGTTACATGATATATCTTTCTTACAGCTGTTTGTCATCTGATCACACAAGGGGCATTAACTGGCACATTTGGTCTAATTTTGGGGTGATGATTACAAATAAAAAAGGGGAAAGTGTGACTGCTGCATGCTATGCTTAAATCACCTCCCATCCCAACTACTTCTGAAATCACATCATCAAGGATATTAGGGAAAATAAGCATGTGATATCTTTCATGGGTAAAGACTGTTAAATCCCAATGGATGTTTTCATCTGTCCCCTCCTGAAAAATCCTATTTACTGTCTAAATCCAGCATAGCATGTCAAGTCTTTTGTTGGCTCTATTGATTTCATAGTTCTTGATTAGTCAATAATTTAGTTCAGCTGACTGCACCAAATTTAATTAATTGGAACTTCTTAGTGTTTCACATATGCTAAAACTGGATCCTCTGATAAACAAAAGACATTAAAATGGTTTTAGATACAAGGAATGACCTAGCACCTGCACCTAGCTACTAACATCATGTTTTTTATCTTTATACATCTTGATGATCAATACATACACTGTCAGTCCATTACTAGCTAGCGTCTTCATCAATACACAGTCATCTATTGATAATTGTTTGCGATTACCCAATGCCATGCTGGAAAAATGCTAAAAATGATTTTACAGAAAAAAGAAAGAAAACAAGAAAAAAATAATACTAGTATTGTACTCTGCCCCTCTAGGCGATTATGGTGCACTATGCCTGCCTGAAACTCATCCGTGTTTCTTTAAGTTAAGTTAACAAAGAAAGAATTGATGGCTAACATATGAAAATCAATCAACAACGTTTTAAATGCATATTTACCTGTGGATAAACTTTATCATGGATGACATGTCACAGGCTTCAAGTAAATAACAGCAGACCAAGAATGAAGTACTGCAACTGTACAGACAGCAGCTGATAATACAACTCCATTTCCCACACATGCGTCCCCTTAAGTAATAGATGCCATTCAAACACACACACACACACATATATGGCAGAACCTCAAAAGATGAGATTATGCTGGCCATATCTCAAAAACTACTGCCCCAGCTGATGAAAAGTTTCCTGTAAGACTTCATTAATTAATCGCAAAAAAAAAATTCTGTATGCTTCACTGAGCTGTCTCCTCACAGTTTACTCTTTGTAGAGACAAAGAAGCTCTTCGTGACTTTCCTTCCACACAAAATATAGGTTTGAGGCATTTTAGGTATTGACTATAATGTACTTTAATACTCATTATTTCTTAGAAACCCACAATATCTAAAGAGAGCATCGTCTCAATTCTAGCTGTGTTGTACTCTATGGATTCCACACAGGAATTAACAGACACAGATGGCCTTTGTTTCTGAGGAAGTCATTAGAAAGCGCATCTACATGTGCGGGTTATATACGGGATCTTGATATTCATTTGTGCCATTGACTTAATGCTTCGATCATGGCTTCCACCATGCCTTAATTACTTCAAATATTCCCTGCCTTGATATGCAGAAACCAATATCTCACCAGCACTAAAAATGTCAGTAGATCAGGGAAATTTCCAGAATATAGCCAGATAATATTAAGTGATAAGTTTTTAATTTCTAAAGTGTTTTGAATTATTCTCCTTAACCATGGATTTAAAAATAGTTGATATTTGACGAAGTATGGACAGCTATTTAAAAATTTTCAAGAGCAAGAAACAATCAACTCAGGCATCTCATCTTTTTTGATTTACTAGTAGTTTGTTTTTGCCTCACACACACATACACGCACGCATGCACGCACACACGCACACACACACACTGTGTATATAATCAAATTATTATGCAATTATCATGCTTCTCTTTTTTTAACTGTTATATTAATAACAATTAAAAAAACATAACCTATATTTAGGAATATGCATTTGTAATCATTCCAATTATATAAATATGAATTACATGTTTACCTATACTAGTACAATGCCACCTGATCAGACACTTTTTCTTTTCAGTTGTGATCAATTTTACATCCAAACTACTAAGTATAAAATTTATTGAGGACAATTCTCCATATGCTTGGCATGAGAGATATTTAAATTGCACATGCAGCAGATGCTAGATATATATACACTGTACTAATACCAGTAAATGTACATGTACGAGTAGCTATACACACTTGTAATACACAGTACACTGTGCATGTATAATTCACCAAACAAGGCTAACCAAGCAACCAAAGCTTTATTTCATTGACAAGCATACTGCCATCAAAGAGAACGTTGTTGGATCAAATGCAGTTGGTTGTGAGTGCTTTTGATCAGCAGACTATTCTGTGAAAATCCAATGGAAATCAGCATGTATACGCACAGGCAGTATTAGCAGTCGTTTATCAGAAAATCCATTATCCTTGACTTTTACTGATTTGGAAACATACTGAGGGTTCCAATCACAGAAATGATACTGTATTTTACATGGTTTAGGCAATGATTAATGTCACAAGTTAATGTACAGGGATTTAATGACAAGAAACTTTAGGGTCTGTTATAAACATGTATGTATGGTTTTAGGTACAGTTGGTGGATTCCCATGAAGTGCACATGCAGAGACTACTGCCACCTGGTGGTTTTGGTCTAATCTAACTTGCCAGTAATACTTTTAAAATAACTGGGTCCTCAATCACACCAGACCTCTCATAATAATGCAATTGTGCACATGAGTAAGTTTATTTTCTAAAAATGTTTAGGCACATTAACAATTCAACAATTTAGAAATTGGATTTATAGCGGGTTTTATGAATATTAAAAAGAACAGCTGGATTAGCGAATATAATAATCTTTATTGAGCACTAAAATGCATACATATTACATTTTACAGGCTCTCTACACTAGTCATAACAACTTAGCAACAAATTATACAAATCTATACAATACTTATGGAATGATTACTGGGAAGCAGCACAGAATAAAACGACTATTGCTATTGATGGGTGTGTCGTTTTTTCAAACTTTCAGTTATATAAAGATATAATGTTCTCAAACACGATTCACTTTTTGGACTGAGCAGCCACTGAATTTTTTCATGATCTGTTTTCTGCTCAGGAGGTATCATTAATCTAATTCTTCTGTCACTATGTTCTTCACATTTCAGTAAAAAGTGGATCTCCGTTTCAATTTCATTACAGTGGGGGCACTTGCGATTTTCAGTAGGGGTTTTAGGGGACGTATAGCGGCCACGTTCAATTTCTAATTTGTGGTCACTAATCCGCATTTTTGCAATAGTCTTCATTTCTGATGGGGTGACTTTCATTGACAGATATTTTTCAGGGGTGTAGGTTTTTTTAAGTAATCTGTCAATCCTGAGTTTACTGTAGTTATCACTTTCCAGGTCTTTCCAAAATAGTTCCTCAATTTTATTGTTGATAGCATCTCTTAGGTTTTCAAAGTTATTTAGTGTTTGTGTATCAGTTTTATGGCCCAGACCCCAACACTGTATAAATGTTCTTATTGATTCAGACCAACAGGGTCCTTTTTCTTTTTGCTCCTGTTCATAATTAAATGTTTTTGACCAATCTGTTTGAAGGTAGCTCTTTCAGTCTGGCGCTGTATCTCTGTGTCTGTTTTGCAATATCAGAATAGAGTGGAAATCTTCCAAATTCAGCTCTACAGGCATTGTTCATAGCATTTTTTCGTACACCTAGTGCCCATTTGCACATTTTTAGATGTAGTTGTTCAAAAGGAAATTTATTTAGTTTTGTAAGTGACATTTGTTTTTCCTTGAATATTTCTTCAGACCAAACTTCACACCCATATAGTAAGATGGGCTTGATGGTTTTGTCAAAAAGTTTTAAGTTGAGTGTGGGAGATGTTATCTTGTTTGAGGACAGGGCTGCTTTAAGAGCAAAAGTTGCTTTTAGAGCCTTTTTCTTTAAATTTTCAATTGCTTTTTTCATTGAACCTGTATTTGTAAAGGTTAATCCCAGATAATTGTACTCTTTTACTGATTCAATGGCTATATTATTTATTGTAAATGTTGTTGCAGAGTCTAATTTTCCTTTTTTATTAAATATCATGATCTTGGACTTTTTTTCATTTATGTTTAGTTTCCACTTTTTACAGTAAGCTTGCAGTGCCATTAGTTTATTTTGTAGACCATCTTTAGATGCCGATATTAGGACAAGGTCGTCAGCATACAAGATGTGATTCAGAATATTGACCAATGCTCTTAAAAGTATTACATCTGCAGCAGTACACATCAACTATCTTTTATGGCAGTTATACACAGGCTGATACATATATACATCCTTTTACATATCTATTGGATATCTTTTGTTATGGTTCCTTTTTTGTGTGACGCCTGCATTGCTTGGGTCATGGCATTTTGTGAGAATGGCACAGTATCACTTAGATCCCCTCAGTGTGGCACTGATAAAAAATAGATCAGGTATGAAGAATTATTATTATTATTAGTTTCAATTGAACATTAGTTATTTATAATCTTTTTGCATTTAATGCTGATTAATGTTTGTAACAATATCTTTATCAGTCTCTGTAAAGTAAAGGTGATG